ATAATCGCCGTACTTTTTTGTGCCCCACATACACAATACACATATTTGCAAACTGTTATCAACATAATGAATAGGTACATAGCATCATAAACATAAAAAACGCGAAGTAATAATGTCTAACCCTTTCTCCGCGTTAATACTACTTATGAACTAGGGACCAAACTAATTCTTATTACAAAACGAAGTTTATGCTTAAACTGGAGTTCACTTATATTTTTTCTTCGTAGAAATTATTGCTCGCCTGAGCGTACAGGAATTTTCATTGCAGTTTTAATTACTTCATCCCGAATCTTTCCATACGCTTCTTACTTTAAACATTAGTAAATGTATGAAAAATAAAATGACATGTGATAATTTATTTCCGCCCCTAATAATTAAAAACCACAAAATAATTAATCATTCGCGATAACTGACAATGGGAAATGTACAAAAGAAAAATGGTAACATAAATCACAACAACATCTTCATTCACACGTCTGCATATTGCACGGTACAAAACGACGGATCTCAAACAAAACCGGCAATATATCACGGAGGGACAATGAGAACGGGGCGCCAGGGCCCGGGAGATGAAGATAGATCGAGCTGAGCCAGACGCGTGGTCACCCTGTCCGCGTAGTAGTTCGACTCGGTTGATCGATGTCTTCTTTGTTATAAGTGCTTGGTACATCACATCGGACTATACAAAATCTATTAAATAGTATACGAAAATACTCATTATTAGTAACTAATAAATGAAATAATACCAAATACAATCCATACTAAACTAACTAAACAGTTGAACGGATCTTTTGAAATACAACTCTATCAAATTAGGTAGTATTAAATATGCAATAAATATAATTGTAATCGCTTAGAAATAAACTATAGAATTACATATTACCAAAAACCAAAACTTTGTTTTTTTGTCCTAAAGTTCTAAAACAAATTCTTACAAATAATTAAAAAATAAACGATCCAGCCGAATCCTATCTTTTTCGTTATAATTCCAAAACAGAGCTTGCCAGTAGACAATAACTGTTATATCGAAAACACTTGCAAAACATTGTTCAGGAGCTTGTAAAAAGAATAATGCAAGTACTCATAATAAATATTGAAGAACACTATCACATCTCACAATATGGTGACAAAAAGGGAGCATCTTATATACGATGAGCAAATGTATTCAAGGGGCCCATTTTAGATTCTGTCCCACGCATGTGTCATAGACAGTAGCCCCCCGGGGAGTAGATGGGACGGGCAAAAACTGAATATTGCAGATATGTTCACATTATTGCTGCACGTTAACAAAATCACACACGACACGTCATTAAATTTCGTAGCATACATCATATTGATACGTCATATATCAATAAGACATATCAAAAGGATATAGCACAATGTAGGTGCAAATATTTTGACAACATTAAAGTAGCTTAAATTAGTTTGTTAAGGTATTTGCATTTTTATCTACATATGGTCAACTTAAATTAACCAGTAATACGTCACATGTTTTGCTACGTATGACTCCTTCTTTGCTTACCCTGAAATTTGGCCGCCCATATATCATCATTCCAACCGAAAAATAGCTCACATAAACATGCCTTTGACTATAGAAATATATAACATAGACAGTCCCAGCATACGATTTTCTGTAAAGTCTACTTTGAATTTTGTCACAATATACGCATAGCATTACAATATATAATAGGTGTCGTGTTATAATGGCCACGTGGTCCCAAGTGCCTAATACATAATGGATAACGGCCTAGCTAGTTTCAATAAAGGGATTTTTTCATACTCCTCCGGTACACCCTGCAATATTGTAACATTCACTTCTCGCAATTTATTCCATTTTTACACAAATCATATCATAAATGCCATTCGTATGTAAAGGGACGTCATACTTATTCTTAGTTACTGGTTTGGTTATATTGAAATGACGACATTGGAAAAAATTCTAATTATAATGATTAGATAAAAAAAACTTTTACAACAATAAGATGTAGGTAAGAGTATTTCCAATACTACCATCGACATTTGTAAAAAACCTACAACTGTTAATAAACTATCAAATACTATCTACGAACAAATGTCAATAGTATTTCATATTTTTGTATTGACAGAAAAACTGTATTGCTCTAATGTACTGGATGTTATTATTAGGAAAAGGCTTCTGTACGACAGGAGGCGATGAGACAGAGCAACTGATCTGAAATGCAAACCGCGAGCCAAAGAATCTCATTAGCAAGACGAGACCCCGCTTACCTTAGAGGGCAGGTGTATTCTGAAAGCAATGAAAATGGAACAAAATTCTATGAAGATACCATCTTCTGAAAGTACCGACATTTAATTAAATATAGCTAAAATAAACATAATAATTGAGGGATGAAGCTTGATATAAGTTTTATATCTATACTGCTTGACCAGAGTGATTCAAATAGTATAGATTTGTTTGCTACACGAAATTTTTCAGTGTTTAATTTAATTTTGTACACGAAGTTTATCAGGTAGAACAATACAAAACAAACAATATAGCCGACATAAAAAAAAATAATTTTTATTTTAAATAAATACCTTTTTTCATAATTACAATTCGTATACGAGTACTAGGTATATTTACAATTATATAATAATGTAGATACATTAAAACAAAATATTGCATCTTGCATTACATCTTGCACTTCAGGCCGTATCGTGATGAAAAATCATTGAAATCTCTCTCTAGTCTAGACTATGTACTACTAACATATACAAACTTGTATGTGTATTATGTTAAAAAATATAATGTATCTTTTAATTAAAATATGTAACAATTAAATAATGAGGTATAAGAAAATCGTTCAACGTGGCAGAATAGTACGGTGGCCGCGGCTCGACGAAGACATTGCGTCTTTGCATTCGTACCAGCCCGCTCATTGGAAAATCACTGCCGCCGACTGAATACTGAACACCGCACAATCTGAGCGTATCTGCGTATTAAATCTCATCCGACACAACTGTCGTAAAGATAAATAGGTTCAGTAGGGATGTACCCAGTATAATAGTGAATGGTAGGCATAGTTAATATCGCTTTTAGGCGATATTGAATCGTATGTGTATTGATTTTGAATATTAGATATAGAATATAAAAATAACGATGTGTAGATATCGTTCGGTATTAGATACGCGTTGACAGATCATAGCGATACCAGAATATATTAATACACCATATATTAAGAGGAACACAAACTATATACATATAAGATGTCGCTGTTGTATGTGTCACCACCATCACTAAAAGATACCAATGTCAAAACGTATCAGCGATATCTAGTACAAGCATACCGCTCGATATCTGATATGTATTATCAGAATCAGAAACAACAATACGATTTGTAGATACTTAATCAGATTCACAGATTTGATACAATTTAACGAGTTTCCAAACCGATAAGTAATTTCATTAATTACCAGGATTTGGTTCACTCTCGGTCATTTCATTATACAATATATTTATTTAATTAATATAACTTTCACAGTTAAACAATTTACAAAACATTTACAACTTATATAAATAACACATTACAGTGGTATACAAAACAAAGGTATACCATAAATCCGCAGATCATTTCTCTAGTTTTACAGAGACCGACATATAAATTAAGACACATTTTTATGTGTACCTAGAAATATAACCAACCCTAAAGTTTTCGCATTGTAGTTGAATATCTTAGAATACTACTGCATTTATTGATTTTCAAAGCATTTTATAAAAAGGAGTAGCATACTGTTATTGCAGTTATTTGTGCATAACATGGACATGAGTAATTTAAAAAAATCCAATTTGGAATGGTAAGAAATGTAATAAATACTCATATACGAATAAATTTTAGTAAAATAAAGTTTAGTTATAAAAAAAATAAAGTTCATTATTATTCCAAATAATGTTTCTGTTCAGTTAAATATAAATTCAATTCAATTAAAGGTATATCTAAAAAATAATATCACATAAAGCGAATAAAAGCTTTTTTACAAAAATAGTAAAAATATTAGAGTTCCTAATGTAGAAATTAATATAATACTCGTACCTACTAAAACTGAATAATTTTGTATAAATAAAATTTATGACTCAGCGAAATGCTTTTAAATATAATCCCTCCTATATAGTGTTAGTTTAGATATTGTATTTGTACTTCAAATGTACATATATTAAGCAAGTCGAGATTTGTACAAAAAGTTTCTAAAGCGTCCATCAAAATGATTTCCTTGCAACAACAGTAATCGTGAGCTATTGAAATGGCCGGACAATTCTGTCCTGAGCTGTCCGCTTTCGGACCCACATCATATGCACAATACGCTACACCGTTGTCGACGTTTTCGAAAAAAATGGGACGAAAATCACATTGTGACAAATCAAATTATACTTTTCTGTATTCACACACGAGCGATTCAATCTGTAAAATACGGATGATTGAAGAAATAGTGGAAAATTACATATATTTGTAGTACTAGAATATATATTATAAATTTATAATATAAACAATCATATTTAAAAATGTTACGCAAATACAACAATAGAATCCCTTTTAGAAATTACATATTTATTCTTTTTAATCCTTTAATGTTACATATGTTTAAGAGATAATAATTAAAATTGCTGTATTTGTTTAACAAATACAACAATTTTAATTACTATCTCATATTATATTGATTTTCTGATATTCTTACTAGTTTATAATTTCTAAGGAAAACTTTGAACAGATAGTTATTTTTAGTTTAAAAGTACATTTTTAGAATGCATTATTTCTAAAACTTTCACCACCACAAATTAAAATTCTTATAGCACGTGGTAATGATAACAAGTTGAAGAATTTTTCTTCACAACACTGAAAGTGGTATTCATAAACAAGAGTAGCATATCTCTGTGCATTGTCCCACATTACTCATTACCACAATTATGAGACAACAAACTATCCTGACGTTATCTGCCGTCGAACAAATTGACAATCGATATAATACAGTGTGCTAGGAATTGTCCTATGGCTCGTATAGGAAAGTCGTCTAAATTGATAATACATTTAATCTGCTTAATCATATTAAGCTACATGGTGAGCCAACGATCTATTAAAACTTTTAGATCTAAAAAGGTTATCAGATTTCTGCCTGATCTCAAGTACATATTGGTATGGACCAGTTTCTATGGAATTGTAGAGGACGGTCAAGAAGCTTTTGTGAAACGAGAGTGTAGTTTTAAAAACTGTTATATTACACATAATAGAAATCTATTTAGCGATTTAAGATATTTTGATGTTATCCTCTTTAATGGACAAGATCTAAGTGGGAAAGGTGGTGACTTACCAGTCACAAGATCCGTTATGCAGAAGTACATTTTTGCTATAAACGATTCAGCAGATAATTATCCAGTTTGTAACCCAGTTTATGATGATTTCTTTAACTGGACTTGGACTTACAGGTATACAGCCTTACTTATTTAAAGCACAGATAAAATAATATTCCATACTTAAAGTAAACTTATCAACGTAATAACGCAAGATACCAAGTTTGACTGGCGTTAGTTCACTCACGTCACGTATTTTCTGATATACGAAATATGTAAAATTTACTAGTAATAGTATATATTTACCAAGAACAAATGCATATTTCACACAATTTTCATTCAACAGAAAATAAATGACATTGCGCCTTCGGAATTTTGGTCTATGAAGAAAAATTTAATTATTTACAATATTCTTTTTAGCACAATTTATTTTTAAGACTTTATATCATTGTCTGTAATAACAATACTATAGGCAATACAGAAGGCAAGAGAAGGAAAACTCAAAGTAAACCATATATCTAGCTAGCGTGGTGAAAGTAGTTTAAATTCTCGTCTTATTAAGAGAGATACCCGTGCATGTGTAGCAGACTTATTAAAATGTTTATAATTTTTTTTTATAAAAATTCTTCACAGATTAGAATCGACAATCCCGTACAAATTCATCACGGTTAACAATAAACATGATCAAGAATTAGGCTCGAACATAAATTGGCGCCAGAATATGACTCCAATTAATAATCAACTTCGAATGCAACTGGATACTAAATTTAAAGCAGCCGCTATATTCTTAGACAAATGTGAGAGCAGGAGTAAAAGAGAATTATTTTTAAAGAAGCTGCAGTATCATCTGTCCAAATACAACCTTACTGTAGATGTTTTTGGAGAATGCGGTTCTATGAGATGCAAAAGGAATACTATGACTCCGTGTTATTATAGACTGAGGAAGAATTACTTCTTTTATTTAGCCTTAGAAGATTCTATAGCCATAGATTATATTACTAAAGATATTCTGAATGCATACAAGAATAATGCAGTGCCGATTGTATTTGGAGGGGCCTATTATGAACAGTAAGGTTTTTTTGTTTTACTACTTTATTTTACAATTCACACACAGACTTGTCCCAAACTAAGCAGAGCTTGTGTTATACTTACTTGGGCTACTAAGAGAACTGATAAATACATAGATACTCGTACATTTCCTTTTTTTAAATACATGAATAATATGCATAGAAAACAACCTTAAATAGTTACACTCATGGATATAAATATTTGTACCGGGCGAGAAATACAACCCGCGACCATCAGAAACAAGGCGGTATGATAAACCGCTATACCACAGACGCCGTTAAATAAATGTTTTGTTTTTCTTATATAACCTGATAAACGTAGAAACTAAAAATGTTAGCTATAGTGAACATGAACAGTACCAAAATGTACTGTAATGTTTGTGCTATGCCATATTCTTTGACATTCCTATGCCTTGTTTTATAATAATTATTATGAAAAACTAATTTTTTTAACTGAAATTCTTAATGTACTCGTATAACACTTCTGTAGGTATGTGTAACATGTAAAACCTAGATTGATCGAAAACGACTGGATCGACATAAATAAATATATTATTTGTCTTAATTATGATTTCTGAAATTAGGATTACATTTACAGATTCCTCCCACCAAACTCTTACATTAATGGCTTAACTATGGGTGAAGAAACACTAGCCAAGATCATGAATGACATCGTTAAAAACCGAGAGCGGTATTACCAATTCTTCAAATGGAAGAATCATTACACAATAACAGAATCTCCAGTCCTCAACCTGTGCAGTCTTTGTGCCAGTTTAAACAATCATGTCTGGTTGACGCATAGGATGAGTTTCAGTAAGTTCAGAAAATGGTGGAACCCTTCATATACCAACCGGTGTAGTACCTCTGGAGAAATTTAAATGTATTCTGAATGGAAAACGATTAACACATGTTTTATCGTCATTTGGGTACAGTGGGCCTCATACGTAAACGTAACTCAAACGAACTCATACGTAATCATTCCAGAGCACTAACTAATCAGGGCACCTAAACAGAGCTGTAGCCATGCTACTTGGCAGACTGTGCAGAACAATTCCTAATGAGGAGTACTAACGCATCATAGCACCAAAACCTAACTACTTGGCATTACGCAGAATAATTCCTGGTGACTTTCCTAAGGGCTAACTAACCTAATTTCCTCATGTCATCGTCCTCCATTGATACCGCTAGCCTATAACGCAAAGTGCGCCATTCGTACATCTTCCTTCAAAAAAATACCTGCAAAGTATCTATTAACCGCATACCCAAGGACTCAATATCTCGCAATAATAATATATTTTCAAAAAACGTTGCATCTCAAATCCACCCTTGCTCACATTTTTATTTATAAATATGTGGTTTCTTATTATATATATGTAAGTGCAATAAAGAATATATAATACTAAATTTTATTGTCTGTACCAGTAATAAATTCATAGATATTATCTAAGTAGATTGTATTAAACTACGCTCCAGACAAAAGCCACATTAACAATACAAGCAAAACAACCTGGCCAGTTCATTGTTCGCAAACTGACCAAAACAAGATCAAATGAAACCCGCATGCAAAGATCAATACCAACAAGGATTGAAAGTTTAAATTGTTTTAACAGATTAAAACGCATGCTTATAAGTATGTATGATAGTCCGTTATCGCCGGGTCCGGTGTTAATTTAACTTTTAATCCTGTTTGTTGATTGGTATATGTTTTCCACTATATTGTTCTGCAAATAAAGAGACATTATTATTAACAGATTGTAGTAGGGTTAGTTATATGTGCGGCGTATTATTTATAACCATAAACTTGTACTCAATACATTGTACTCAGTACATTTTACATTATGTAACTATGGGTGAAGAAACACTTGACAAGACCATGAATGACATCATTAAAAACCGTGATCGGTATTATCAATTCTTCAAATGGAAGAATTATTACACAATAACAGAATCTCCAGTCCTCAGCCCACTTTATATACAATTAAACTGTATATATATATATATATATATATATATATACATATAGGAATTAAAATGAGCATAAAGCGTAAACGTAAACGTGGCTAGACAGCAATCCAAGTCAGAAAAAAATAATTAATCGGATACCGTAATCCAACTCATTATAATCTTAGCTAAATGAAAGTCTTAACTCAAACTATTCTAGTTGCACTCCATCTAAAATTCTAGAACCATCTTTCATTAAAAATTAAGTAACTTTTACTTAAAAACTGCTTAGAGTTAGCGCGGACTTAACTTGCGGCTACACTTTTGTCGTACTTAGGAGACTCTACGGCGCCTTACATTTCTGTCTTAGGAAAAATTAGATTTGTAAATCTCACATAGTTTATCACATCATGTGAAATTTTAGATACACATAGGTACACATATCAATATTAGACACTCTTTGACATTTCACTTCCCTGGAAACAAAAATTTCAAATTATTATAGCGATAGTAAAACCTACCTAACGATGGGTAGGAAAGTAGACATGTAATGAGTTTTGTAGCATTGTCATATTTATTGTCCTTTATTGTCAAAATTAATCTATTGATAGCAGTAGAATTTTTAGTAAATTAAAACCATTTATTTACTAATATGCGGTTTTCTCTTATCAAGGCAATTCCACGCTTTGATTCTCCTTCTTTTACCCTTTACCTACTCAAATTGATCATCATTAAATTTATCATTATCACCATACCATTAATGCAAGCACGGGCGTATTACTATAATTTAACCATTATCATCCCTAAAAAAAGTCACAATAAGTATCCGTAAGTCATATGGAATATCCATTGATTACCTAGGTGTAATAAAAAAATAACAAGAAGCTTATCATAAGACAAAAACCCGTATGTCAGTAGCGCAGAAGTTCAAATTTACTTTAAATCCTTTGAAGTAATATTACATTCCTTTTAGTGAAATTAATGCTACTCGAAAGGCTCATACCTACATTCTTAAGCCAAAATATGCTTAATTATTATGCTAAACGTCTTCTCCCGCTTCGCTTCTGCATAAGTACTATAGTTTTTGCCTCACTGTAGAAGCAATCTACATTTCTAATCGCTAAATGCGCCACCAAATGGCTATAAATTGAAATATATTTCATACCTATGTAAACTAAGTTGTAGATATGGGGCTACCTCATTTATCTAACGATTTGAACGCTTGTAAGAATATTAAAGCCTAGATGATAATTTGAGAGATGGTTGATAGATTTATTAAAGTTTATTAAATAATTTTTATTTAATAAAATTTAATTTAAATGTATACTGGATAACTTCTGATCATTTTAAATTTGTTCTTTTATTACTTTTTTTTATTACGTTTTACCGGCGTGGCAACGCACATATCTATTTGTAGCCAGTTACAATTTTATTTTTCTATAGAATTGTACAAGGATTATCATAGAACTATTATAATAAACGTACTTAGGCACATATATTTATAAGTATTTGTTTATTCAAACTCAACAAAGATAGTTTAATGATATAATAATTTTTTTTGGGAAAGAAGAATGTGTTATCTACTTAGTTTTATTTCTGACAAATAGTATTCAAATTTAAACTTTAAAATTTTGTTTAATTACAGAATTTCTTTATATGGCTTATAACATAGGCATTAATAATTATGGTCCAGCCAGGAATAAATTCATTACCAATCCTAAAAACGTGTTTTATTGGAACAGACTATAAGCTATACTTCTGTAAAGTTTTATCTACATCCGTTCAGTAGTTTTTATGTGAAAGATTTACAAACATCCATTCATACTCACAAGTTTTTGCATTTATAATATTAGCGAAGATAACATTATATTGCATAATATTAGTAATATATCACGATAATTGTGTTTTATTTATTAAGGACAAATTATATTTATGCTAAATGTTTATAGGCAATATTTTAATATATGTATTAACTAAATCCATATATCCATATTCACGACCTTCCGCGTTTATAATATTAAGATAGATGAGAATTACACATAGCTATAAATTAAAAAGATATTATGTCAATTGGGCGAAATACAATGATAAATGTGAAGTAAGTGTGATACAGACGAAGTTGAGCGGTTCAGTTAGTAACTAATAATAACAACATGCATAGATATTACTACTTTTTTTTTATTCACCAAATTATATTTATATCGTAGTATTTATAATGTTGCTATAGACAAGAATAACACGGTAGGTATGTAGGTATATTAATATTTAAACATCAAAGAGTCGCATCCACCTTCAAGAAATAAATTCAAAGATTTTTCTTTCAGGAAAGCGGGACTTTAATTTAAACTATGACGTGCCGGTACGAGAAACTTGTGAAAATGTTTTAATGGGACCAACTGTTTGTTTAAGAATACAGTTCGGAGAGAAAATTAGCTCTAGGTGCGGTACTACAGAAATTTGCATGAACCTAACCACTGAAAATTTTAATATTTAATGTATATTACTTAATTAGTAAGTTATAATAGTTCTAAGTTTTAGACGGAGTGGTAGGAAAGAGATGTTTGATGACGACAATTTTGATAGTCCACAATGTCCACCCTGGCACAGATAATATATTACATCCCTGGTGAGATCCCAAATTTTAAAAGTTATTTTTTTAATTGGCATTAAATAGTAGGTATGTATTGAAAATCCTCAAAGGTTCCATGATAAAAAGACATCATTGTAAAGCTGTACGGCAGTTTTTCATCGTCAATTTGAATAGAAAAAATAAAAGAAAAAAGAATACGCATACCTACTGAAAAAATACACTGCGTTTATATTAAAATTATAATACTTCTTAACTGAATTCTTCACTTCATGACGTAAAGGAGTATCTACTTAGTTATTATGAGCGAAAGTTTTTATAAGAAATCAAGTTTCTAGTAAGAGGTTTATCTCTTCAACGGAGAAATTCAAGCGCTCGTGAAGTTAACAGAAACTACATATTTGAGTCCTTGTCCCCTTACACTCAAGTTTTGTAATATCTAGTATTATTAGTATCAAGTAGTATTTTTATAATCGAACATTAACTCTATAATATTAGCATAAGAAAAAAAATACAGTATACAAGTACTTATAAAGAATTTAACCACTACTTTATTCTTAAATAAAAGACGAATAGTGTTTTGAAATCCCATAAGTTTAAAATGGAATAAGCAGTTGAGAAAAAGCAATCTGCCGCCGCCTCTAGCAATGCGTTTGCGTAGGTAAATTAGTTGGCCGTTATGTCTGTGAACAAGTTAGATTGCCTCTACTACGCTTCTTTAATTTGTGCCTGGAATTTACTTAGTAGGTATTTGTGTCTGGTCTTAATGCAAGAAAATATTGTAATAATATTTTTATTGCATAAAATACGGTTGTTTGTCATTACATCTAATTTAGAATGCACTTGTTATACACTTTGCCATCTTGGCGTTACAATGTCAATACTATGTGCAGTTTGAAGCCAACTTTTTAAATACCGTTCCTTTATTTTTAAGTAACTGAGTTACTAAAATAATATCTTCACTGCCTCATTATCCCAGATGGCCATTTTAGTGAACATGATAGTTTGTGGGTTAGTCAGAGGTATTGTCTACTATCATAGTCTAGGTAAACAAAATTGTAATGTCCACATTTCGCACAGCACCTAGTTATAAATTCAATGTAATATGGGCCCAATATCACATTGAAACTCGTAGTCTCCCGATTTATTTTAGTTTCTTACTGTTTCGATCACTGGAAACTTTGCTGGATGGAGGCAGATACAAACTCTGAATCTGGGATCCAAGTTGTGAAAAACTGATAGGCCACGATGCTCTCATGTGTTCCCACGTTGTTTTTATAACATTAATTTTTAATGTTTATTAGTCTATATATATTATTAGTCTTAATAGTCTAAAGTACAAATACAAACTGGTCAAGTTTGTATTTGTACTTTAGACTATCTATGTACAAAAAAAAAGTAATCTGACAATACTGACAGTAACAGTCTTTACTGACACTATTATTTCATTTTGACAGTTAAATTGACAAGTATATCAAAACAGCTATATTCTATATTAAAAATCATAATAATTCATATAAAAACAGAAAATCAAATTAATTTTATTAAATAACGTCATATTCATATTGGATACAAGATTTGGAATCAAGAAATCATTAACTTCAGCCTTTGTTTGTCTTACAATTGAGGTTATATGTTGTTATGACTCAAGGTGATTGTGTTGTGAGATGATTTGAAGATTTCAACTTGGTGCCTTCATATATTCTGCCTTATATGGGTTGAGGAAGTGTCACGGTTATACCTGGATCAGTTATAACTAAACTTTCATCATGAGTAACCGCGAAGCACCTAGTGGTTCGGGATCACAAGGCGCGGATAAGGGAGAGAATAATACCCAAACCCCATCCCAACCCATGCCTGCTGGATCCAGGTTTAGTAACTGTTTCTCTTAAAGATAATATTTACTATTAATTAATTTTACATCTTTCAATAATTGTTAAGGTAACTTACCTTTCAGAATTTTGTTTACCTACTATAGTAAGATAAAATATTGATTTTCTCATAATAAAAGTCAATTAATAATACAAATAATACATAGCCAGATTAAATATTACTATTAATGTTAATTAATATTAAGTTTTCTTAGTGGTTTTTGAATATTTTTTATAATTATTCATATAGCAAACTTATAAATAACATATGGCCTTTATTTGTGTTTCCTTTGTTCCATGTTATATAAAAAAGAACAAAGCCCATTGTACATTGCAAAAACTATTTAAAAACAATTTTTAGTTTCCTTCTCAGCACAATAAGTTGTGCATTAGATTGAAATTGACAAAATTCAAATGACAAATGGGGATAAACATGTTGGGGGTGGGGAGGGTCTCAACAAAGTGTGACAATATGTGACATAGGATCGAAGGATCAATATCAATAGAAGGATCCTTAGGGGAAACAAACTCAATTTTATGTTATGATAACATTGGATAATGCTATAATAGAGCATAGGAAATGTTACCGAAATTACCATTAGAATTTTTACTGTTTTCTATAAAATTACTGAAGCAAAAAATATTTCTTCATTGTTATATACTCATCTTATCTTTGGCTACTTTCATATTTGAAACTGTACTCCCAATATACATATATATCACATATTAATTTATAACTACTTGTTGATTTCAGCAATTTCGAATAAACTCATTCTTTATCTTCCAGCAGTAGCAGATACTATGCCAGTGAACCAATACAGTTCAGAGTCCGGGGGTCTACCATAACAGGTGCATCGCCTCCAAAATTTGTAACTTTAGAGGATATTATGAAAGCAGCTCATGGGATGCAGAACATGGCTCTAGCACATGAAATAGCGGTTGATCAGGACTTCAAATTGGAGCCATTTGAACCTCCAGATAACAGGTTAAATTGATACTAATATTATATAAGCAAAAATGTGTTTGATAACTTTTCTCAACTTAAATCTAATTAATCAATGAATGTAGTATCAAAAATTGGTTTTTATTTCATATATTTTAATCAAAATAGAGTTTATACGGAAATACTTCACACTAGCTATTAGTCCTAACTATTCACTAGTCACCTATATTCATGATATATGAGTGTCATGTGGATTGAGAATAAAAACAAATGTAGTTTTTTACAAAAACTTTTTCCATTATGTTTTAACCCAACCACTTTCAATGCAGCTACCAAAAATTAGTAAAAGAGACAATGCACAGGGCATATTTTGATATATTAAGAGAGCAACTTAATTCTGACCCTCCTGAGTATAAGCAGGCACTTATACTACTTGAAGATGTTAAACAGGTAATTTTAAAACAATATTAATTCATTTAATTATAAGAATTTTAATTAATAAGAGTTATATTGTAATATAAAAATTTACCAAAGAAAATTGTCAAGAGAGTGAATGAAAATTGTTTCTAAAACACATATGTAAATTTATGATATTTTGATTACAGAACAACACTAAATCCAATATACATTACAGAATAATTTAAAATAAATTTAATATATGAATATAGAACTCTGCATGTTTCTTACATTGTTTGTTATTCTAATTTGTAATGAAACGGACATATTTCTGAAAAATAATGTTCTATCTAAATCCATTAAATAAAATAGCTCAACATACAAAAATGTTGGATGAAATACTGAACTTATTATTTCTACTAAGATTGATTTAAACTTATTGTGTATTTAATATGTTGACCCTAATAAGTTAGTGCTAGTTGGTAGTTTGTATTCACACATTTTATTTTGAAATGTAATGTTATAAGGATTATTTAAAAGAGCAACATGCAAGTATCTTTTGCGTTCTTCTTGAGATGAGACAGCTTTCCAAATGAGAGTTAGATTAAAAGAAAGATTTATCTTTCTTTTAATCTAATTTACTTTTAACTAGTCACAGTTGTGACTACTTAAAAGTAAAATTAAGTTTATTTGAATAAAGGCTTTTCTATTCTATTTTAGGGTTTGTTCTCCATTCTACTCCCGCGTCATACCCGAATTAAAGAGATGATAGAGGAGGTCTTAGATGGAGAATTCATAAAACAACAGGCGGAAAACAACAGTTTAGACTTCAACAAGTATGCGAAGTTTGTGATAGACCTTATGGCTAAGTTGGCAGCGCCGGCGAGGGATGAGATGATACAAAACATTACCATACTCACAGATACTGTAAGACTCCTAAAGTTATTTTTGTATGTTAACAATTTTGTAGTTGATAGCATGGACATTAACGCAGGCGTCCCGCAAGGCTCCGTTCTCTCCCCGACACTGTTTCTGCTACATATCAATGATTTGTTAACTACAGTTAACATTAATTGTTATGCGGATGACAGTACTGGGGACGCATTTTACACGGGCCGTACTAATATCCCTCTTTCTGTTGTGGAGGCAAACCGCGAACAGCTTGTGTCTGAAATCGAGACTACTCTTACCAGTCTCTGATTGGGGGCGACTGAACTTAGTTCAATTCAACCCTACCAAGACACAAGCCTGCGCGTTCACCGCTAAGAAAACCCCTTTTACTGTGGCTCCGCAATTCCAGAACACGTCCATTACCATCTCTAAGAGTATTGGGATTCTCGGTATCGACATCTCTAGCACAGTTGAGTTCCGTAGTCACCTCGAAGAAAAGGTTAAGCTGGCGTCCAAAAAACTCGTGTGTGCTCAATAGAGCGAAGCGGTACTTCACTGCGGACCAGAGACTCCTTTTATATAAGTCTCAAATTCGGCCGCACATGGAGTACTGCTCTCATCTTTGGGCAGGAGCACCTGGATACCAGCTCGGTCCTTTTGACTCGATTCAGAGACGTGCTATGAGAATTGTCGATGATCCCAATCTCTCTAACGGTATCGAGCCACTTGGTTTGAGGCGAGACTTCGCTTCGCTTTGTGTGTTCTACCGATTATACAACGGACTGTGTTCTGAGGAATTGTTCGACATGATTCCTACGGCCACCTTTCACCATCGCACCGCTCGCCATCGACAGGGAATTCATTCCCACACGCTGGAACCTAAGTGGTCTCGGACATTGCGGTTTCAGAGGAGCTTCCTCCCGCGTGCACTTAGATTGTGGAATGAACTTCCTGCCGAGTTTTTCTCACGAGACTACAGCATGGGGTTTTTCAAGAAGGGTATATTAAGGTTAAGGGTATTTTAAGGGTCGGCAACGCGCACGTGACACCCCTGGTACTTCGGGCGTCCATAGGCTACGGTAACCATTTACCATCAGATGGGCCGTATGCTTGTTTGCCACCATAGTAGTATAAAAAAAAAGTGTCAAACTTACAAGGATATTGCGAGTGTCATCGTAAGTGAAATGTTTAGATTTTTTTTCATGTAAATATTACTTTTATGATATGGTACGACATACAAGCTGGTGGGCCACCTAATGTAGGAGTAACCGTCACCTTTGTAGAAAGTATTGCATGGGTACTACAGCTTCACATATGTCAAACGCCAAACAGCATCCTTTATAAGCTATGTTTCAGTTGAAGGGTGAGAAAAGACACTGAAATTACAGTATAAGAGGCATGTCATCTTGGTCCTCCGAACTGGCAACACATGAATGATATCACGGACATCACATGATAACCTGATAATCGTCGCCTATGCGAATCTAGTTGACACAATAACTATGACTGACAGAAACAAAAAATTAAATCTCCAACAGGGGGGAAATATAAAAAAAATAGCAATGTACCATGTCACGTTTACCTCCACGCGGTTCCCACTGAAAACCATCAATTTCTTGGTCAATTTGTCACGATGGTTTAACTGACTTGACCTGATGCTCATCTTATCATCCACTGGTACCCCTCCAGCATATTCCGTTAGCGCAGGCGGGAGATCCATTCCATTATTAATTCTTAATTTAAAAAAATCTACCGATAGATGTTTTGTGTCAAATGTTGCGTTGCGTTAATAATGCCTCGACTATTTTTTTTACAGGTAGATGTATTCCGATCGATTCTCGAAACGCTGGAGGTATTAAAACTAGATTTGGCAAACACGCTAATAGCAATGATACGGCCGCACGTACAAAAAGAAAGTGTTCAATATGAGAGGGTGAAGTTTGATGAAATGCTTAAAGTTTCTGAAGGTATTCAGTGATTCACCGTCTATTTATGATTTGCCAGCCATTGAATGGTGACCTCGGTGGTCTAGCGGTTTAGTACACAGCCTTACTTCCTATAGACGCGGATTCATTTCCTAGTACTTTTATTCATGAATGTGATTGTTTGTATTAGTCTAGGTGTTCCCTATGTATATTTTGTGTGTATTTACAATAATAAATGTACTTCAGTATTTCTATCAGTTGTCTAGTATTCATAACACAAACTTTGCTTAGCTTGGGACTAGATGGTGCTCTGTGCCTTGTCCAGGGTTATTATTATTTATCCTATTATTAAAATGACCGTTAAAACTCGGTTACTCTGTTTTTATCTTCGATAACACATCTTTCAGATGGTTTGCAGCATACCCGGGAGTGGTTGAAACGGAACATAGACAAAACAGGTCTAACAATCCCGGTTACTGATCAGAATGTCATTAGAAATGTAACAGCGCAGACCCTGGCTAAAGCTTATTTGGAGTTGCTTGAGTGGGATGGTACAAAAGGCTATCCAGAGGTAAGTTTATTAATTTTAAATTATCAATAAAAATGTGAAATGACCTATGTCCATGGATATGAAAGAAATAAGAAAACAGTGTTATGGAATATGACTGGTAGGTACTTAGATCGAAGGGTTATCTAATTGTAATCTAGCGACAAAAACTATGAGGTAACTAGTGTAAGAAACAAACCAAAATTTTTCCGAATGACGACAGTGAGCCCGAATTACGCTCATAGTAATGGTGCCACCATAACGCCGACAATTAAGAAGGGCTCTGATTGTCCCATCTACGATAAAAGATAAATCAAAAGTCTCCATAAAACATGTATGTAGAAAACTGTTCTTCCCAATACCCTTCTAATCTGTTACTCTAAATACTTCAAATGCGAGTATAGATCGCAAGCGCCACACGGAAATACTATAAGAATCATCACATGATTAAATAAAAAAAACTCTCTATGGAGTTATACTATTGTTACATTTCCTCAATTAGCAGGATAGCAATTAACAGGGAACAGAACACCTTTATTTTAGTAAGATTTATCTGGTTATCAAGAATCACTGTCATCAAAGTTCTAATGATTAAAATTACAGCTTAAATTGTTGCAATTGACAGACGATATCCCTAGACGCTCCAAGATTTGCCGAGTTGGGTACTCAGGTCTACAGGCTGGTGTGTGTAGCATCCCTGATGCTGGCCAGTCCATCCTGTGCCACAGATCCAAATACAGCAGCCCAACACAAACAAACTCTGAAGGATAAAATTGTTATCATTATGGACAACGCTTCTACTGATGTGTGAGTAACCTAACCTACACTAACTATTTTTTTTAAAGGAAGATAATGCAATAGTTTACTCACTTGCGCTAACGATATACGCTGGCGGGGCACCAGTGGGGGATGATAATTTAATAAGTATTCCATTTATCCACAGAGAACTTCAAGCAGTCTTGCCATCTATAGCTGAAGAAGTGGTACTTGTAACTGACCAGCTCCTAGAGAATCTCAATCAAGAACCACTTACCTCTGATACTAAGGAACTTATCAGAACACAAATAATCTCCCTGAAGGACCCTGAACATAGGGTCAGGCAAATAGTTCGTAAGTATAACATTTTTTAAATTAATATTACTTTTTTATAAAACTAGCTGACTCGCGCAAATTCATCTGCGTCGTATTTTCGTATTAATTTTGATTGCAGCTCCTATTGATCGTAGCGTGATGTTATATATTATATAGCCTTCCTCGATATTCTATTCAACACTAAAATAATTTTCAATATAGTATCAGTATATACTTTTTAAATTTGACGCGATTATTATTTATACGTAAAATAAAGAAAAACATGGTATCTTACCACGTTTTATTTTTATTGAGTTCCCAATATTTCGGTAGTGTTAGAACCGCCATGATCACGTATAAAGTTTGATAAAAATCCTATGATTTTCTTAATTTTACGTAAAAGAATACAGACTACAGTTTATTCTTATGTATGAATATGGAATGATGCACCCACCTGCGCTAACGGTTTACGCTGTCAGGGTTCCAGTGGAGGATGATAAAATGAGGATGACGTCAGGTCAGTTAGCCCATTATGGTAAATTCACCATGAATTTATCACGATGGTTTTCAGAGGAAACCACATAGTCATCAATTTGACATGGTACATTGATAGCCATGGGGTTATTAGTTCCCCCTTCATTTTATTAAAAAATTGGACGAGGTCGCGGATAACTATATTACATAATTCCAGGTCAACGCGTGCTAGAATTTCTAAAAATGATACTAGTATGCGCGGGTGGTTCTCGACAAATACCGGTCGGTCTGTCCGCCTTGTCTCGTGAGTTGACATCTGTCTCGGGCACCTTACTCCGGTATGTCATGCACAACAAGGCTGTTTTTACCAGCCACTACCTGGACATCGTCACCGAGGAACTGAGCAGGAGTTAAATGTACCCGCTAGGTTGTTTGGCTTCTTTAAAAGTATACTCTAATCTGTCATAAAGCGAGGTTACTAAAAGTAGGGTACAGCTTCTACTTGGAGTACTCAGGAGAATTATAGGGTATGCGTGCAATATCGTAAAATACCTACCATTTTTTTAGTAGTATTTTAAGGGGTTCGATATCTTGGAAGCCCAATAAAGTACGAGTAGTGAAGTCAGAAAAACTGCTATAACTCATTACAGCTCTTCATTGCATTGAAGTTTTATGTATAATGAATAATTGTATTTGACGTCTGATTGTCTAAAAACTGGTAAATAATAATACCCACAGAATAATTCACATAGCGCCATCTATTTATCGCATTTTGTCGATTCAAATTATTTCACAATTTTAATAAGAACGATTTCATACAGTGTTACATAATTGATGGACTATTATCAAGCGCTATTTTGTTTATGTAATGATGAACAAGTTGATGGCCCACCTGTTAAGTGGTGATGGTCGCTTTTATACATAAACGTATAATCTAAATCAATTGCAGATTATGTACAAGCAATATTGTCAATAACAAAAGATGCGATAACGCTAGCGGCAGTGGTTTATTTTTGCGCTAATGTTTTAACAGTATCACAAAGTGCTTTGTAATTATTTAAAAATGTCTTTAACTGTGCTTGTTCACATACTCTTAATAAAATATATAAATACCTAAAGTTAAAGTGTATTGATATTTTATAGAAAATAGTTAATATAAAAAAATTCTAATGATAAATAATTTTGAATTGTTCTATAATTAAATTTAAATGTGATCATAATTAATATACTAAACAATTAATAATTAAACGTAACCATGACTAAATAATAGTATGCGATTAAAGGGGCTGTGGTACAGTTATAGGTCTAATAAATAAAATAATAATAAATTTTAACGTATTTTTGTACGTAACACAATGAATTAGATAAATAATTATATTTTTGTATTTGTGTAAATCAATTTTATTGTGACAACAAACTGAAACCCGCATAAAATTAAAACTTGATCTCTAGGAGCATATGAAATATATAAGATTAAGTCTTAGATGAACTTTAAATGTCACTAATATTTTTTAAAACATTATATGCAGATTTTGTAGTGGCTTCAACGTAGTAATTAGCCCCTTATCTAAATGTTACAATTCTTTTATTTAAGGATTATATTCTTCATTTTTATAGATAAGTCTACTTTGACAATTTGTTTTTTTCAATTTTCAAGATCGTAATTTCTACCTACCCATCGTTACAAATTGTAGGTGGCTTTTTTAATCAGAATAAAACGAAATAGTATATTTGTTATACATCATGTTTGATTGATGATGATTGACTTGATAATGTTATATATTAGAAAGATTTTACTAATTACTTATCTAGATATAATAATACATTCCTTGTACTTTGAGTGTTACCATTAAAATCTTCCTGTTTAATGTAGACTTTCCTCTCGTTGATAAAAGTATTTTATCTCTTGATCTGTTTTGTCTCTTTTTAGACCTTTTGAGTGAGTGAAAAACAAAAACTGTTGCATGTAAGCATAATATTTATTCTATAAATAAACTGAAATGTTTGATTCTCGTGTTACAATTTAACAATTGTTTTAATACAATTAGCATTTTTTAATTGTATGTAATCAAGTGAACGCACTAATAAAATTGCTGCTATATGGACTGTCTTTTATTATTTTGTATCTGCTGTAAATCAAACTATTTTTTTATTAGTTTGTTTAAACGAATGTTAAAGCGGTAAGCACAAACATATGTATCACAGGCATTACTTGATGATATAGTGGTATTTTTCACGTATGTAGATGACGGTCATTAAGTGAGCCGTAAGCTTCTCTGCTTTTCCAGTAACATATAAAGAAAAAAATATGTGGAATGGATATGAATAATGTATAATTTATTTCACGTTGTTTTAGCTAGAGTATTGTCAACAAATAATGAAAAACTATTCGTCTAATAATTATGCAATATTAACATTAGATGAATAGTCCTAATTTTTCAAAGCTTGGTAAAATTAGACTTCAGTTAGCCAATTTATGAATAGATGAGTACATATCGGAGTATATGGCATTACTCCGATCTGTTACTCAGACATTACGGTCTGACTACACTACTGCGATAACTGCGACTATATGTATATGTAATCATGTTTACGCTGAAGTAACAACACATATAGAGGATAAAATAAAAGTAAACGTGGTCAATTCATTTACTTTCTTCATTATAATATAATAAAAATCTCTTAATCTAGTCAGAACCGCTGCGTCTTGATCTTGCACTGGACGCAGAGCCACTACGGGAACCCTGAACAAAAAATAATATGTACTTAATTTATTTTATTTATCTTTGGGTCTTCTAACAATAATGTACTAAAAATTCTGTTATACCCTTTGACGTCGAATAGTAATTATTTATATTTATATTATCGTAATATATATATCAGGGCTGTTATGGATATGAAATTTCGGATACGGATAGGTTTCGGATATAGTAATGATTATTATACCGCATACGGATGCAGATATAAAAGTATTTCGGATTATCCGTTAGTTCCGGTTAATTTCGGTTACGAATATTAATTTTTTAAGGAATTTCAAAAGTCAAATACAAATAGCTAATAAAATAGTTACATAACGTGTCTCAATTAGGCTCCGCCCCTTTCCGGTATTATCCGAAACTTTTATTTCGGATTCGGTTACGGTTACGGAGCTCATTAACATGCCTGATATATATTACTAAGATAAAAGAATTTCATATTTTGGTAGCTTAAAATAAAGAGCCGACGAAAAATGTTACGACACTTGATAAGGTACGATAAATTTATGAAAATTATTATTGAGAGAAAAATAGAAGGAAAGAGGAGGGAAAGACAAAGGCACAGCTACGAATGAAAAATACTATGAATTAAATTAAAGACAAAATTGGAGTCGTGTCAATAAAGTGGCAAGAGCTACACTGAGAAGAATGTGGCTCTTAAGTTATGAATGAATGGTAAATATTAAAAATTTCTTCAATACGTGTTATGTTTATTTATGAGTGTTAAGAATATTAGTTTATATAAATTGTAATATTACGACATAAAGACAGGAAATTAAATAATTATGGCAATGTACCAATGTAATGCACCAATACTGTCTTCTACAATAGAATGTTTCTATAATTTGGTAAAACTCTGTACTTCAAATAATTTGACATATTACATGAACGGAAAGAAGTTATATTCCTCCCTATGCAAGGTGGCTTCTCAAATTACATTGCAACTATTTATGTAAATTACAATTTTTTTAAATAATACTCTCAAAAAATTATCACCAATAATCAATTTAAATATTCACCTGTCTAGAACCGCTTGCTGATCGACTTCTAGACCTTTCAGATCCACTGCCAGAGGCAGTATTTCTTCTAGAACTTGCTCTAGATGATGCTTTCGAGCCTGACCCTTTGGACGAGGACCGAGAGGCTCGAGAGGATGCACGGGAAGACCGCTTCGTGGCCCGACTGGCGCGAGACGATGCACGGGAGCTCGCCCTAGAACTTGCCTTTGAGCCCTGCAATTTTATTTATTATTAATTATTATCAAACCTTAACGTCCATAATAAGAGGTTAATTAAGTTGTTAGTTTATTGACGCATATTGAGATATGGAAATGGAAGCCGGTACTTTCTAGGAGGTAAAACCTTTAATTTGGCTCCAATAATATTTTTTTATTACGGCCCCTGATCGCATTTCTCATCGGATTTTATACAATTTAAACAAATCCTTAAGAAATTATATACCTAAACATTTCTCATATCACTCAGTTGACCCCAACTGAGTATCGCATATGCATATGTATGTGGTAGTCAGGTTTTGCATGAAAATCCGTTCAGCAATTACTGAGATTATTGCGAACAGCGAAATGTCTGTAACATTAATGGCCTCGCCATTAATGTTACAGACTTCATTTTTTATATGTGTAGATTCAAGACTAAACAATTTACATGGTTTATAATAATTGTAGTCGGATATAATTAACTCAGCTGAGCCAACCTATGCTATGCTCCAAGTACCAAACCTAAGTTAATTCTTTTAAATAAAATTAAATCAATTTGCAAAACTTTGTATAAATATCACGTAACATTTATGCAAAAAAATAAACTTATTTGTGGTTTTATAGCATGAGACATAATAAAAATGTATGACTACCTTATTACTAGCCTTGCTGCTAGCTCTAGAGGCACGTCTGCTGGCTGAACTTGCGCGAGAACCTTTGCCACTCCTGGAACTGGCACGAGAAGATGCACGGGAGGAGGTTTTTGACCGTGAGCCTGACCGTGACCGCGATCCTGACCGAGATCGTGACCGAGCTGACCCCGATCTAGACCTTAAAATAATAAGTTAACGATATTAAAAGAATATACAGTTATGAAATAGGCACAGAATTTTTTGGCTCATTTTAATTTGTTGGGATTATAATGCTTTTTACATTTTGTTTAGTTCTTATAGAAAGAAAAGTCACTCAAGTTTGGAATGGTTTTTGAAACCGTGATATTCAAATTCATAAGCATTACAGTTACAAAATAATTTATATTTATTAAATACATTATTTAGGTATATCCATTAGAAATGATGTTAACAAAGGAGGACTTATCTCTAAAAGAGACCTCTTCCAGTCAACCCAATACAGTATGGCATAGGTAGTGTTTAGTGAGTCAAAATGTGCAAATAATAATTTAATAATAATATCATAAATAATTAATGATAAACATAAAGATATAATATGCAAAATAAAATCAATACATCATATATTTACATACACTTATGTGTCAAAAAGTGACTTATATGTTATGCAAAAAAGTGAGAATTAAAGCTTAATATAAAACTAATAGTATTAAGTAATTCGTTTATAAACTTTACCTAGCAGAGCCAGAATGAGCGGAACCAGATCGCGATCTCGATTTTCTCGATCCTGAAGCTGACCGTGACCGACTTCTGGACTTCGAGCGAGATTTCTCCCTAGAGCCAGATCTCGATCTGTTCGACCCCTTCGACTTCACTGATCCTTGTGGTGACTTTGACCTTGATTTGGAACGGGATTGAGATCTAAAAGTTATTTGTAACTGTGTATTAAAGTTTGAAAAAACACAAAAAATTATACAAACCTATTTTAATAAAAAAAAGTAGTACAAATTTAATTTCTATTATAAATTACCTTTCTTTTTCTGTATTTTCTTCTTGTTTATCTTCATCATCATCATCATCTTCTTCCTCTTCTTCTTCATCTTCCTCCTAGTAAACAAAAATGAAGAAGTAAAAAAATAATTACTGTAATAATAAATATTCAAATTTAAAATATATACACAACCATATAGTTTGGCACTAGTAGAAAACAAGCATAAGTATGTAAAAATATAATGGGAATATGGAGTGCATTTTTAAATAGACGTATTTTTATTATATAAAATATGTAACTAAAATATGTATAAAAAAAAGGAAGAAGGGACCGTTAAATGAACCGTTAAATTGCGTCAATATAGTGATTTTATAATTATTAAATTTGTACAAGGTAATGTGATATGATAAACTGATACTGTTGTTACTGAAATAAAAAATATTTTTATTTAATTTTTAAAATACATTAAGGCATACCTTCTATACAGTTTAAAATCAATTACCTATAAACAAAACGTACCTGCGGTGGCTCAAGCTGCTTCTCCCTAAACCTGAGCATACGATGCTCAACACCACTTAGCGGGCGATGTGTCACCACAAGTCTGGTAAGCGCCTGTGCAGCGGCGCCGGCCCTAGCACGACGCTTGGACAGCCGCACACGTGTCTCCAACTCGTTGTAGTATACACAATGATTGCGAACCACCTGAACATTTAAGTAGACAAAATATTTTTTTAAATATATTACAACCTCTTGACCACTGTAAATATTTTAAAAAGTTGTCTGCATGTGTACCTTATCCTCATTTATATATTATACTCGCAAACCAGCATGTTTTGTAAGATGTGTTTCAGTAGAGGAGGGGGATAGAGCAGTGAAATTACAGTGTGTGAAGCATGACCATCTGGGTCATCGAGAATGGCAATTCAGAATAATGGAAACAATAATGAACTATTCATGTATATAGATAAACGTAACGACTTAACATTGAATGGCCAGTCAGCTTGTTTGGCATTCAAAACTACCACACTTGGAATGCAGATGCAATCCAGCAGACACGGCAAGAGTATATGTCTTAATCGAGCTTCATGTAAATAACAGTGTCAATGAAACTAATGCTTATTATCATATGCATATCAACACATTCACTTAATACACACATCTAATAAGTTTGTTATCGTTACAATCTAAAATTACAAATAATATCCTAGTCCTTGGATACAATACTTCAATATGAAATAATGCCCCATGGATGTATTGGCTGTCATCAATGGTATTCAAAATGAATCTTAATTTGGCCATTTATAATATTAATACAACTTTATTTGACAATATAGCAGATAATCTTATAAAAAACTTACAGATATACATTTTGTACAGTCAGTGGTAGTAGTAACTAAAAAAATAAAGTATCAATGCCAATCTATATTAAGCCCCATTCACACTAGATACCAATTATTTGTTTAAAAACATGTACTTACCAAGAAGTAACTCTCTTCATAACCTTTTGATGCTTTACTTTTAACATTCCAGTTATACTCTCTAGCCATTTTGTACTCATAGGTGTCTTCATCCATGTACGGGATGTTCTCTGTGATGTCGCGGCGACGTTTCTGAATTGTCTCCTCGGTAGGCAGACAATAGGCAACAAACTGTTCACCACTTTCGTCCATCACACCTCTGCAATCAGAGTAATAAAAAAAAAATTAAGTATTTTTTAAAGGAACAATGAGCAGTTCTTATTAGATTTAGTCAAGCAGGGAGAGCGGATTAGACATGTGAAGGAAGGTTGTTGATATGCATATGAAAGGGGGCTTCAGAGAATCAGAGATGGCTTGGAGTTTCTTTCCTTACCATTCAGATGGCATTTCCATGATATTCTAAGAAGTTTCTCTTCCTGCATCAAAAATTTAGATCTCAGATAACTCTGAGGTTATTAATAGTTGTAGATCTAAATTAACATACCTAATCATAGCTTGAGACATAGCTTCAATCTGTCCGGCAATATTTTTATCTGCCGGTGCTGGATCTGAATCGAATATAACCTGGGCACATGGATACTTCCACATGTCAAAGTCAGGGAACACCGGCATGACCTCAACCGGGGTAACTCCTGGCTTACTGTAGTGCTTTTCTATAGGTTTCATATTGTCCTCAAAGGTCTTCTCAATAGCTTTGATCTGACTCTCACGGTCCATATATAGTGTCTCCTCACTGAATATCTTTTTGACATTGTAACCAACTTTTGCTTCAACCTAAAATTTAAATAGCATTCAATTACGATAAATACAAAAATATATGATATGACTACTTCCAATTGTACGAAAGATTTCTCTAAGTTAATAATTAGAAATATTAGACTACAACTGTAAGTTCCAGAGATCTAAATACAAGATTCAAGAATCATTACAAGTAAATCAACAGAAGATAAATAATGGTCAACCTCATGGTCATAGTGGTATAAAACATTACCTCACCATCATATGGTTGCAAGTTTGTTACTCAAATGATACAAACATTTATATTGATGACAATAACTTTATATGGTTTAGGTGTTATTGGCAGGAACAGAATATGACCCAAATATATTTTAACTACTATACTCACTTTTTCCATAGTTTGAGGCTGGAATCTAGTCTGTTCTGTGGAGATATACTCAGAACGGCGCAACCATGAAACATTCTTGGCATGGTGACGAGATCTTTTCGAATCTTGGGGAGTAAGAACATCATCTTCTAACAACTTTTCATCAGCTGGGTCTAATAAAGCATTACCATCACCCTGGTATATATCTCTGTTTATCAAGTCTATATGTACGCCTAGATCATGTTCTGTCAGTACTTCATACCTATAATTTTTCTCCAAAGAGGTAGGATTGTACTGAATAAAACGCGTCGAAGGAAATGGGTATGTAATGAACTTCAAATCAAATGGAATATCAGGCAGCGTGTTGCAGTATTTGACTCGCGTCACCAAATCTGACCTATATAACAGTAAATTTATAAAATTGGTATCATAAATTGACTGGTTTCATGAAAATTTTATTGATTCCCCAATATAAACCTTACTAACCTTCTTTCAGTAGTACGCTGAGGTCGTTTTTCCCTTTCGGGTTCATTCGTTGTCTGTACAGTAGGCGGCATATTGCAACGCTAATTACTTACTGTACTGAACAGATTTGAATTGCCTTGTTAATGTAAATTTCACTTTAAATAATAAACATTGCTAAAAACACATCACATAAGACAAAGTTTATTTTAAGATTTAAGTTTACGTTTATTTTTAATTGTTTTTTTTACTTTGCTTCTGACATTGACAGTCGTTCCGACAATTTATTTTTAATAATGCTTTATTCATGGCGATGGATACAAATTTCGACAATTTGGCACACTAATGTTGCCAGATTAAACATTTACTTTTAATGACAGTCAACCTAGAGGACACGTTTTCATAGATAAAATAAAAAATAATGTGAAACGCTCTTTAGATCATATTATAAATCTGATGTAAATAATATGTGCAACAATTACAACTTTAAATATAAAGTTCCATATTATGTACATCTTATTCGGAGGTTTTATTAATATGCTCTTTTTCATGTGAACACTATTTATATGGCGATATTGAAAATGGATGCATTACAGATATGTGTATTGTTACATATATTTCAAAAATAAGAAACCAATCCTGCAAAATGTTTAAATTTATGGTACTTCATTTCCGGAAAATCCGGGAAAGTCAGCCAGTAGCGACAATAGCGTTCATTCAAATATTCAATACCATTCATTAAAAAAAATCATTCATTCTCGTAGGTCATTGGCTACCGCTGCCGGTTCGGTTCCCTCCTCAATTCGTCGCCATCTTCCTTTTCCTACGACTTTTGTCTGCTAAAAGGTATGTAAAATTATTAATAAATTATCATCTATTAGTGTATTACGCTACGAATATATTAAATTTAACTATTTAATTGCCTGTAACATGAGAAAATAATTCCGAACAACGGTACTTTCTGAATTTCTTGTAAACGTGAGACAACCATGTGGTCGGTTTACTAGGATTTGCGATCAACTACGCATTAAGTTTCACAGACATTATATTATAATTCCTTTTTTCTACAATCAAACTTACTTTAAACTATTTGCGGAATATTTGTTGTCATATACACTTTTTTTATAAGCCGGTAAGTAACCAACGTGGCGGCAAGGTCTTAAAACATGTCTATAATTATTCCATTTCAGATATAAATTAAAATGGGTACCGTAGAACGCTCGGGTGATGATCATACCTCTGAAGTGGAGTCGGGAGAAGAAGAAGAAATTGTCGGAGGTGGCGAACTTGCGCAGCATCTACTGAAGAGGTGAGTGCTACCTTTTTATAGGTTAACTTCTACGCATTTACAATTTGTCACATTAACTAAAAATATTTGTTTTTGTTAACTCTTGGAGACAAGAAATAACAAAATTTGATAATTATAATTTACAAACTTTTTATTATAATGATTTGCTTTTAAACTTTACAAAAGATTATCTATCATAAAAAGAAGAAATACAATAAACTAACTTTTTTATATGATAATGTACAATTTTTATTAAGTTGAAAACCAAAACAAAAAACCGAAACTTTCTTTAGGGATCCTGATTCTAAAATTATAGCTACTAATTTTGAAATGGCATTCACTATAATTATTCATATAAACCTAATAAGTAAATTTTTTCACTTAAAACAATTAACTTCTTAGGTCTACCACATGTGCTTTGTTAGGTTAGGAATACTAAGTAATCATACTTTAATTATGGCATTTATAGATATTAAATATTCACTAAGATACATTTCTTGAAGCACACATCACACTGATTGTCAATAATAATATTAACGGTATTAAAATTTATCTAAATAATAATGATAAAAAAATCCAAATTTGTGTAATTTTCTATAGTCAACCAATTTTCAGCAAACTATGAAAATTGGTAACTGCACATATAAAGAATTGACAATTAGTGCACTTCTTGTATCTTACACCATAGTAGTAAATTATATTTTACCATAGATAAAATATATATATATATATATATATTCAAGTAGGTTGTTACAATCCATATTTTTTTTTTGTCCTGCTTAGTAAATAGTTTTAATTGAAATAAACTGGAAAGAAGCTTTATTCTTATAAAATATCTATGTAGTATACAATAAACAGAATGTTTTGTGATTATACAAGATCTATTATTGCAGTGACATTAACAAATACAATATAAAATAATCCTAAATAAATATATGAACTAACTTAATTGAAAGTTGTATGATTATGTCGACCACTATAACATCATACAGTCTATCTACTTCAGTTGTATACTACATTATAAAGAGGAACAGTACACATAGCAATAAAAGTTATTATTAACAACAATTAGAAGGACTTCAAAATTATATGACAAGACTATTTACATCATAAATTTAATGTGTCCATTTGATTGAAGCAATTGGAGTATCACAAGGATTGTGGAGTATAGTCATAGTTTAAAGATGAGTCATACATTAATTTAACAATGAATCAAACCAAAAATTCTGATGTAATACATATCCCAGTTACCAGTCCACTTATCCATTTGGTCCTTAAACAGAATAGAATTTTTGTAATGTTACCATAAATTTACATGTAGTATTTGGTTATTTTTCAGGAATAAATGCTGAAGTTTGTTTTACAGAGTATTATACCTTATTCTTCTTTCCTCTACCCTTTCCTCTTTTTATGTAATTCTTCAATTTTTGTAACATCCACTCTTTTATTATCTTCACCTTGGATAACTTTGTATCTATATACTGATCAAGTCTAGAGGATTAAATATACTAATTAATGCCATCTTGAAAACTAATATATTATGTCTAACTACTAAAATTCTCATGTCACAGGTTTTGTGTTTATACAACTCTGAAAAGGCTTGACCGTTTTTGATAAATATATACTCAGTCTGAGAATAGGTTTATAACTAATTTTTATAAGTGTTAAGGGTGTTAAGGGTGGGTCGCCCAAATAATTTTTTTTATAATGTAGTTCTAAAAAGTACATAACTTAAATTTCACCTTTCTATCATCAACCCCTATTTTTATTAGCGATTTTAATTTATACGGCAAAACAACGTTTGCCGGGACAGCTTGTATTTCTGTAATAATCTGAAAGCAGAAACACAACTAGCCTCGTCTAGTTGTGTTGTTGTATTATACTTTGTAGACGAATTTCTACGAAGTTGAAATAACAATACTATTTGTTTAATGCTTTGACCCACAATGTTATCGTATTTTTCAATGTATAGGATGTACCATTTTTACATAGAAATGTCATGTTATCTGAAGACACAAACTGGGGAAACTCTGTCTGTGATTATCAAAAGATAGTATTACAACATATATAAAAAGATATTATTATAACGTTAATATTTATAAATTCGAGACGTAATATGTTATACATCGCACTTTATTTTAATTTAAATTTTAATAAGAGAACTTTAAATTCAATATTACATATGCTAGTTTTTTTTTTATATTCATGATAGTATACCACTATGCACACCATTAGCACACTAAGCTGCACCATTCTACTGTGACGGTATACGCTAGCGAGGCACCAGCGGGCATTGAGCATGAAATCAGGACAGTTAGCCGATCATTGCGAATTCATCAAGGCTTAACCGCCATGTTGTCCAGGGCTCAACCAATAAACTTAATCGCTAGCGTATTATATGCAGGCAGATTTCCATTCCACCCATAAAAACACTGCTATTTACTGCAAGCGCTTGCTTGATATAGCAGCAAAAGAAACCAAAAAAATATCTATAATGTCAATTATTATCTAAGGTTCATTGAACTGACTAATGACTCATTCGTGCTACTTGATCGATTATCAGTAGGTAAAATCTTGGCCAGTACGCAGGGTTCAGTAGAGCATAAACATTTATTTTAATCTGTAAATAAACGTTACAATGATAGGTCGGTAGGTAGGATCGTGTGTAGATAAATATACAATTTGTGTAAAGATTCGAATAGTTAGAAAACTTCCATAGGTTAGCGTGATATGAATAATTAAAGGTGTATATCATATTGTTGCGCCAATACATATTTATGATAGGTTTTTTTATGATAATGTAAAGTCAATGCCAATCGGATTCGATTTCTTTACCATTTACGTATTTCGTCATTTTTTATTATTATCATACCTACCGTCCAGTTCAACTAGCTACTTTTATTAATCAATTTAAGTTTAGTTTATTTTAATAATAAAAAACTAATCACGGTTAATAATCTGACATAATGGTGACATTCGTGAAATGAGTACGATGTGTTAGGAGACTTGACAAGTGGCAAATTATAATCTATCTGCAGTTTTCACTGACGCGTGTCATTAAGAATCAGAACGAGACGGCAACGTCCGACCTTTTGTTATTCCTCGTGCGTGATTACAATCCGTATTTACTTGTCTAGGCCCCCAGATCCATTACAAACGTCACACATTTTTTTATACTACAATGGCAGTCATGCATACGGCCCATCTATAAACGGTTACCGTAGACTATGGATTCTTGAAACACCAGGAGTGTCACGTCACGTGCATGTTTCCGACCCTTAAGAAACCTTATTAGTTAGAAAGAAGTACCCTTCTTGAATTTTTATAACCGAAATGTGACAAAAATTACTATCGCATTTTAATAGTTAAAATTTTGTTTTAATAATAAATGTAATATTGTATGTCGTCACAATATTGAAGACCCGTCTCAATTATGGAAATGCCATTACTGGGTAGGATCTTAGACGTCATCTTTTAATTTTGATTTTAGAATTCTTGATTACTTTACATAAAATTTCTGACTTCCAACCAATGTCATACTTTGTCGACCCACCCTTAAGGTGTGACGAAATCTATGGAGTGGTCCCTTATGCCATCATGACAAATTTACTAGGAATTAATTAAAATTGTTTCCATAGAAACCGCGGTGAGGTCGACCTAATGGGGTCAGTACGCTACTCGATCGAAATAATAATGACAACATTGAATTAATTAGCCCTGTCTGTATAATCAAGTTAATATAAATACGAATTTGACTCTGTCTATTACCAAAAACAGTATCACACCTAAAACAGTAATTGTCGTGTACTGTTTGTTGAATTTTGGCTAATGTACATACATTAGCATTTGGGAAGGAAGTCATGGGCTGCTTTTTATACTGGACGTCCGCTCGTCCAGACGATGTCGCAAGCAGAAGCTAGCATTATAATATATTGCATACAAGCATAGCATAGCATTACAATATAATATATAGTGCGAGCGCGTCTTTTTTTATTATACAAGCATACAAAAACTAAACGTAGAATGTTTTCAGCTTTTGTATGTGTGTAAAACAATTAAAGCAATGCCTTTGAGTTATAAGATTATTTTAGGATTTGTTTAAATACTTCCTGAAATAATGTAGTTATCATGTACATCAAAATCGTATACCAATTAGGATTAGTTAGTTTACTGTAATTTTTTTATACTTTACCTTCAGATTCTGTTTATGATAAATATCATATTCACAATATGATATTTATCATATATATCAGAGTTTGTCCTAACCAACAAGTCCGTACTATATACAAAAACAAAAATTTTGTAAAGGCTCGATTATTTTTCTAGTCGGTTAGGAATCTCTTTTTGCCAGACCTATAAAATAATAAGACAATACAGTTGCATTACCAATACATATTGGTTCTTTTTCGAAGTCGGTTGAAAACGATAATAATTAACTGACAATTGCTTGTTTGAAAGACGTATATGAATCACATGCAGTGCAATGCCAATACAATGAATGTTCAATTATCAAGTCGTTTCAATGATACTTTTTACACAGTATGCAAATTTGTTTTTGCACCGAGTTCTGAGAAGACATAACAATTCTAATATTTATTTTATTCGGTTAAGTAATGCATTCGCTAATTCTGAACAAAACTAATCTTTATATTATTTATGTTATCTTTACAAAGAAACTTTAAAATCGCCGCAGCTTTCCGATTGCTTATATTTTTTTCTTTCTTTTAAATTACGCAACGAATTTAAATGCATTTTTCTGCCAATAGTTAGTGATTCAATAGGAAATGTGACACGCAGGTATTATACATATAGTATATAATACCTGCGTGTCACATTGTAGTATACTCCCAAAAATTAAAAAATCAGTAAGGTACCCGTGCTAACGCTAGTTAGTAATGAAATTCTTTCCCAATCAGTATCCAAAAACACGCTAAAGCTTTTTTTTACTGAGCAGAACTGTTCAGACATATAACGCAATATATATATATATATATATATATATATATATATAAAAATAGCTTTAGCGTGTTGCAATGCGATTGCGATGATTCTTTTTGCGATTGCTTCTTTAATAGATTCCCCAATAGAAATTTTGTCGGCACTGATTAGCCAGTTTGTCTTATCTGAAAAAATATAATAAGTATGTGTTGTGGATTTGTGGTAGAGAAAATATTCTTCACCCTGAATAGAGAGAATCGCTACAGTATTGATTTTGAAGGCACAATGAAAGCATTATTTATGAGTCTTCCTGGCGCGGTGTTGATACCTTGATACAAACTCGTACACTGTAATTTAACAAGTTTTTTTGTACATTGTTGCTATGTAATTATAGACTTGATAAATGTTCGTACTGTATTATTTTGCGAAGAATAGATATAGCGTGCTTGCTATATCTATTCAACTAGTAAAATAGATCTAAAAAAAATACTTATCATGAAACATAATCTACTCTGGTATTGCATTTATTTTTCCCTCTACATTTACTCTACAAATCTGTAAAACTTTTTTTATTTCTCCAGAAATTAATCTCTTGTAGACATATTCCCCGAATCTATCGGAAGAGTCCTATGATTATGCCTCTGATTCGAATGGTACTTTTTATAGCACTACGCAAGTAATAGATCACAGAAAAACACATTAAAATACTTCTATAACACGTGACGGCCATAACGTTACCCTAAGAATGTGTTGAACGGCATTTTCTTATTCGTAAATACTGATTTACGAATAAGAAAATGGCCGTTCAATATTATAGTAAAATCCATACTATTATTATCATAAGTTTTCACAATTAAACAGCTGAACGTATTTCCAATGAAAATTGACATCACTAAGATCGTATCGCGAGGGCGTACATCCTTTGGGCTGGCTATATTTTATCTTAAAAAAAAAACTGACTAAGTCACGTGTTATACAGCAAATTTATATATTTTAATATTTGTAACTTTAACGCAGTTCACTTTCGGTAATGGTCAACGCCAAGTATTGATATAATAATTTAAAAAAAAACAACAAAAATATTACCTTGCAACATTGTACATTATGTTTCAAGTCTGCTTTACGCTATTTATATATTCGTTTGCTACGATCTTACTCAACGGGTTGCGAAGAGAGATGAATTAAAAGCCCGGCCGCTAGTGGCAGTAAATTATAATTGTAACATCGGCTTACTCGCGTGCTCACTTGGAGGGAGAATCATCTCAAAAATGATTGCTAATATAAGTCATATTAGACCGTCGAGAATCTGGGCTTATTGCCACCGAAGCCCAATATTGTTCTTGGCGTTGGTGGTAATGTAATAAAGCCTGATTGTTAGTAATTTTCCTCATAGTTATCAATGTAGCTTAGTTAGGTTGATTCTCATATTGTTAAAATTATCACCAATGCTACAAAGTAAACCTTTGGTCGACTTCCAAATATCTATAAAAAAAAGAAGAAAAATCTTATTTATTATATACTTGATTGTAGTGCATAAAATAAAAATTTACAGGCATGTTTTCAGAATTCTTTCACTTAAAGAAAACTGTCAATGTATCTTTCTATAGGTAACTAAATAGTTTATATCGATCTACTATGGAATACGCTTATGATTAAGCATAAATATTTGATAATTTTTCATTTTAGGAAACAATCTTTACAATAATATGCGATGCTGTCTTTGAACGATTACCAACAAAGAACTCCCACATTCAAATATGTATCGACTGCGTTATATTTTTTCATTTGCCTAAATTATTTGTTAATTATTATAAGTTTTTATTAAATTACAATTCTGTGTATGTATTTTATAAAGTATATTTTTAAACAACAATGTTTATACAATATTTGTTTCTTTTTATTATCAGCGGAATCACTCGCAACGAAATGTTGGCGGCCATTACGAATCGCATCCACGTCGAGACGCTGGCGGCGTTGCCACCTAATGTGCGCCGGCGCATTCGCGCGCTGCGCTCGCTACAGAAGGAGTTTGTTGACATCGAGGCTAAGTTCTACAGTGAAGTGCACGCGCTCGAGTGCAAATATGAGAAGCTTTATAAGCCTCTGTTTGAAAAGGTAAATATAGTTTTTTTTTTTTTTATTTAACTGGAATGGGAAATAAATAGATAGGTAGCAAGTGGTAACCGTTGTCTCTGATATAAACAGCATTACGGACCTCACGTCGTCCTAAGACGCCGGTGGTGGTATCTCTGATGCAGGAAATTGTGGGGACAAGTACATATACTTAGACACTGTAATTTCACAGCCATATCTCATCTTTTAAGCTTTATAAAAAGGCCACGGATTACAAAGCTGTTTGGGGCCAGTTGTTAGCATTCAGTTGTTTAGCATAGTTGATATGAAGTAGTCACGAAGACTTCTAATGCGTTAATACTTTTGCCTTGAGTCCTTTGTTTGAAGGCGATCTATAGAACAGACAAATATTCAACAATGAAAAGTATAGCTGAAGTAATGATGACAGACAAGATTGGTCACTTAGGATATTTTAATCGCGTCCTTTTATACATTGATCACGTTGGACATTGTAATCGCCCTATTTTATTAATGTTTTATTATCCAGGTACCAAATATTCAGTACAGACTTTACAAAGTTTTTTTTTTATTACTAGCGCGCTCATATTGTCAGCGGTTCCTACGAACCTACTGACGATGAATGTTTGAACCCTTGGCGTGATGAGAGCGAAGAGGAGGAATTGGCTCGCGCCGTACAAGGCGCCGCAATTACTGATGGCTCAGAAAAGAAGCCTGCTGAAGAAGAACCTAAAGCTATTGAGTAAGTTATTTTATATTATTTTTCGCAACAACGTCTTCTTTTTTGTGATAAAACATATGCCCATTCTCATGAACAATTTATCCTCCTAACAAAATTACAATCTGTTTAGCTATTTATTTGTGAAAAGTAAAAAACAGACAGATATACACTTGCGAATTTATAATACTCTTTAGTATGGATTTTTATGATATGTGTATATATCAACGTGATTTTTTATGAATATGTATTCCCCATTTGTTTGGTGTTTTTTAATATTAATTACTGGAATAAAATATCCCATTCATTTTTCTATGATGACTTCTATCACCAATCACTGAATAATCATGATTGATTTGAATTAACATGCATCACCAACTGATGAAATTATATACTATGTTCTTTATATATTAGTAATTGTCGTTAGTGTTAAGTTACATACTTTTTATTTTAGGCCCGCAATGGACCCTAATGTGAAAGGCGTTCCAGACTTCTGGTATACCATCTTCAGGAATGTGTCTATGCTCTGTGAAATGATGCAAGAACATGATGAGCCTATACTCAAATGTTTGCAAGATATTAAAGGTAAAACTAAGTTGTATTCAATTATTAAATTTGGAATAACCAATTTGTTGTTTCTAATGTAACTTTGAAAATATTCTCATGAAGAGTCAAATTGGAATTGTCTGGAGATACATAAAAATACAGCTTTTAACAGTACAGTTTCTAGCTATAAATTTGAACAAGATGGAAAACTTCTCAAACAAACTGTTATTTTCCATGAAAACAGGATAATAGGTTTTGTCGTTATTTGGGTTAAATGAAAAGTTTATTTAGTGTATTTGTCAGTAAATTATCCATATTTTAATAAGTTTGAATTAATCAATTTGCTTGATGGTTATCAACTACTAAAGCACAGTTATAATGCTTACAAAACCAGGGGATAATTTGGCAACACAGCTGCAAAAATTTTGTCTTTTAAATACATTGCAACTTTTGTGATTATGTATATAAATCTGACCAACTGTATAAATTGGCTTCTATTTGAAATTGTCAGGTGTTTCATTGTTATATATATTATAATATTTTACTATGATGACATTCATCACCAATCACTGAGAATCATGATTGATTTGAACTAACATGCATCACCAACTGATTTATTCTATAATACAATCTATTATGTATTGCAAACCAACATGAATAAACATAGTAATATTTTGCCCAACAGTGCAAATGCATGACGACCCTATTGGCTTCACATTAGAGTTCCATTTCGCGCCAAATGACTACTTCACGAATACTATATTGACCAAGGAGTACTCTATGAAATGTAAACCCGATGAAGAGAATCCGCTGGAGTTTGAAGGTCCTGAGATTTATTCCTGCAAGGTAGGTGTCACTACTGTCTTCACATCATACAGGCAGACCGGTAGGGAGAACTGAGTAGCAAAGATATAAACTGCGTGTTATAAAATCGTGAACAAAAATTGGTTAACGAAAAAATGTTATATAGCAAATATACAAAGTATTTTTTAACCTAGAAAAAATAGATACAGTGTCGACAAATAGTTTTTAAAAAATATTTAAAGTAAATTTTTTTTCGCGGATAGGGAGGGAATTTTGTAAGAGGCCACAGACGAGCGCGGGCTTTTTGATTTGTGTGGTCGCAGTGGACCATGAAATAATTCTTAGATATTAGATGTTACACATATGTGACTACATACATTTTAGTTGTCACTTCGTGCACGCCATTTTTAGAAACATCTTGACATATTTAATTGCAGTTTTCATTGTATTGTCGTAAGCATCCCTTAACAGTTGAATACTAATTAAACCTCCAATAAATAAAATCTCGTTCTTTAGGGCTGCGAAATAAACTGGAAGAAAGGCAAAAATGTGACGGTGAAGACGATAAAGAAGAAGCAGAAACATAAGTCGCGCGGCTCCGTACGCACCGTCACTAAATCGGTGCAGGCCGATTCATTCTTCAACTTTTTCTCGCCGCCGGCCATGCCTGAAGACCCCAACTCCACTCTGGCCTCTGATATTCAGGTAAGGATCTGTCGGTTAGGCTAGGGGCCCATAAAGGGTAGAAAAAGCGAATCAAGTTATTTTGGCCTTTGTCTTTAGCCATAACTATATTCACATAATCATTAGTCTTCATTCGACGGGATTTACATATTATTTAAAAAAAAATATTTCATTAAATAATAATAATAATAAACTCTTTATTGTGCACATAGAAGAAATACAATAAGAAAAAACAATAAATAGAAAATGATGAACAAAAGGCGGTCTTATCGCTATAAGCAATTTCTTACAGACAACCTGCAAGATAGGACTAACGTACACAGAAGAGGTAGATGGCACACACAAGACACTATAATTATCAAACGTAATAATAGTATAATAGTATGTTTTCATAAGTTTGGAATTGCAAACAGACTGACTGACCTACTTGATCTGAAGTAGTAATAAACGCCTAATAAACATGAATACTAAATACACTGTCAAGTAGAAGGCCACTTTGCATTCCTACAGATAATGAACTTTACTGCCTTAGAAACCAGATTACAGGATATAATAAAATTGCTTGGTCATAGTTTTCTACTGTATGCCGATGCATTTTGAATTGAATATTAATTGCAGGCGCTGCTGACTGCTGACTTTGAAATCGGCCACTACATCCGCGAGCGTGTCGTCTCCCGCGCCGTTCTCCTGTACACCGGCGAGGGTCTCGACGAGGATGACGATGATGATTACGAGGAGGAGGTAAGTGGTATACTTATCGTATCACTTAGTCTACTTATACTATAAGTATAGTAGTATACCTACAGCTCGTCACCCCTAATCGCTCTCAGCACATAATTAGAGTCTGTAATATTACAGACTCTAATTTTCTTAACAGCCATGGCAATAGTAATGCAAGCTACATGGGCTATGTTCAGGTGTTCGGAACTAACTAGGACTTTTATTGCTTGATTTTGTATGAAATACTTTTTCTCTCAACGTCGTGCGTTGTTTTCTTTAAGTTGAATTCTTCAAGAATTCTAGGAAAAATCTGTATTCAAAACTTAACATAGCGGATTACAATGTCATATTTTTATTTATATATACTAGTTGTATCTGGAGTCTTGGTTGACTGAATTTAAAAAAAAATAAACTTTGCTACAGGATAACCTGCACAGGCTCTGATAAATATAAAAAAAATCCGTCACTATTTATGTTTTACAGAGTGGTACAATGATTAAAATATTAGTAGAATCAAATAGAAGGTCTATTATTTATAATAGCGTAATTGATTTCTAGTCTAATAATATCTGTGTCTAAAAGCTAAAAAATACTAGGTAGTGTCTAAAACAACTTTTAGTGCCTCAACAACGGTCAGTACTGCTATGCTTCTTCTTTTAACCGTTACCATCTTGTATATGACTCGATATTTGACTTGACCAGTTTCTCGCTGGTCTGGACTGGTCGCCAAAATAATTGGGGAAACTAAACTGCTTTTAATATCTTGGACAGTCGGTTGTCAGTTGTCAATCTATGTATACACTACTAATGCTGCATTCCTCTCATTCGAAAAGTATAGTTTTATCCCATAATATTAACTACTATATTTTATTTATTAAGGACTAATTATATTTATGCTAAGTGTTCTTAGGCAATGTTTCAATATATTAACTAAATTCTAAATAAACAATCAATTTGTATGCTTCACGTCTGTTTTCGGTAACATGAGATGTGAATTCTACAGCCATCTAGGTGTTCCCACAAGGTTTTAGCTTGTGTATCTCTCTATGCATGGTAGTAATTAGATGCTTGCTTAGTTAATGGTGTGCCATTGAGTTGCCTATCCTATCCTACAGTATCAGACGGAGGTACAGTATTTATCCCCATTTTTTTGACATCGTTATAAATAAACCCAAGATTTAAGAGATAAGTGCATGCAATCGAATTATGTATTTAGAATGTATTATGATATTTTTAGAAAAACATTTACACGATTTTTTACAAATAACACATATTTAACTTAAACATACGGCATTTGTTTTACTTCATACCTATAAATTATAATGTAGAGTAATTCACACAGCGCTAATTACTGAACTTAAATACATTTATTTAGTTAATACATAAGTACACCTTACGGTATCTTGAGTGGATCTTACGGGATCAAATCCGCGACCATTGGAAGTGAGCCGTTAGACCTGTTTGTTAGCCGTTAAGACGCCAAGAGGCAAAAATCAAAGAAAAATGCATTTTTTTGTAATGTTTATAATACGTAAATTCATTTCTTCAGATTTAATTTTTATAAATCTGTATTAGGTAACTATTACACTTGTATTTTAATATTAAACAATTTAAAGAGCATATTTACTATGTGATTGTATCTTGGGTTTCTTTGTATCGATGCTGTAGACGTTAAATTCGGGTAAGCTTTCCCAGGCGACGGATACGGTATCTACGTCTGGTCATGTCGCGGTGGCACACCACCAACAGCGGTGTATTTGTTTTCAGGAGGATTCGTACTCTGACGAAGATTCCGGGACCGAGGAAGTATCCGACGTGGAGGATTGATGCAAGATTGTAGTTCAACTGCCCCCCTAGCGTTGTAATTTACCTAACGGGTGACCGCCCGCCGGTTGAAAAATCGCGCCCAAATAAAACCCGCGACATTTGATATGTAACCACGCTTCAACCGCGAAAATTACTCTCATATCTGAACGTCCATATCATTTGAAGTTAAACTAACTTTAAAATTTCTATAGCGATTAAGTGATCGAATACTCTCGCAATGCGTCGGGTAACTCTCAAATTGGTAGTGTTATACGCTAGATGTAGTTGTAATAACATGTTTTGCAACCGTTCTATGCATGGTTTATCTATCGCTCGGATAAATATGTATTAGAAATATTATTATTATTACGTTACTGGATTTTTTTTTAATTTGTTGAAGCGAGAAGTGTATGGTGCCTTCTTAATTATTAAAATAATGCATGTTACATGTTGTTACGTCTGTTACGATACCTATATTGCATTTCTAGTTAGATATACAATATCTCGTTTTTATTTATTATTATAATGTAATTATAGTGTGTATTTTTGTTTACGAATTTTAAATGTTCGCTCGTGTACTATGAAATTTCATGTGATATTATTATTGTCTAAGTTTTTTATCGATTTGTATCGAAATTTGTGTTGTCATTCCATTGAGATGCTACTAGTTAAAGCCGTATATGAACATAGGCAGTGTTTTGTATGAATCGTCCATGTATTGTATTGAATCTCTTTTTAGTGCCAAAATGCATTATCATCACTATAACGTCGCAACTGTGATCTTACTCAATTGTATTTAGATATTAATAACTTGACAATAGCTAGGTCGGAGTGTAGATGTATATTTTTTTATTTATGTAATCTTCTATTGAAGTTAGCATAATATGGTCAATGTTTAGCAGCTCGTCATATATACTGGTTATTTTATGGCTTTAGTTTTGGCATGATGTCGATACGGACACATTAAAATTGTATGCTTTTTATCCGAGTGTGTTTTATTTAACCTAGTTCGCATGCTCTTAGTTAGCAAGTTTATCGAATGCAGATGGTTGCAGAATTCACGTATAATGTCGATAAATTATGAAGGTAATTAAATATTTGTGTGTCGTTATACTCACAGGTGTTGTATACTTAGTGTATTAATATAATAAACACGTTTCACAGGAGGAGGAGGAATGTTCTACAGAAGAAAGTGAAGACGATGAACCCGTTCCAAGGAGAAGAGCCAAGAAGCCAATAAAGAGCGCGCAACAAGAGAACCCTGCGGAATGCAAGCAACAGTAGCATTGAGCTAAACGAATATATCTTACGGTCCAACAGCAGTTATGAATTGTAACATATAGGAATGATCTGTCACTGAGTTGCGTGTACGGTGCTGTCCAATGGGACACTCCGATATTAGGTTATATCTTTTATCGCTCCGATTATATATATTTATATTTTAAAATAAGGAAGCCAGGCTCGGCCGTAGCCAAGACAAATACAATACTGAACTTTGATATCAATTTATATGTAATAATAATTGGAAATTATTCATAAATTTCATTTATCAATTATTAATAGGTTGCGTGCGATCTGGTTTGTGTAGTTTATGACCCGTGGTGTAATCAATTTAATGATTTTATAAAACAAATAAATCTTCCAAATTATTTTAAAGTTTTGTACTGGTATAAAGACAATTTTAGTAATTAATTCAATATTATATTAATGTGTTGTAAACAACAAATCGATATTGGTATTACCTTTTTTATGTATTCAAGATCACTAGTGCATACACCGAGTTGTAATTGATCGTCCTGTGGGATGAATTTGGCTTGGACCTCGCAAAAGACGGCCATTTTCTCTACACATTCCTTATTAATGTAACTTTTAATGGAATGTAAAAATTAAGAGTTATCCGCCTCTGTCTTATAGTAGTTACGGCCATTATTATTATTATTAATGTGTATAATATGTGGGTGCTTATGTCGCATCGCTAGTAAATAAGTAAAAACCTTGTGATTTCACAGCCTAAAAACAATAACGGCTTTTTGACGTACGGTTAACGGTCTTAGACTGTATTGTTTTAATGTTACTTTTCCAATAGCTACTGACTCGTTGAATATTTTTTCAGTAACTTAATTGGTTGTTATTTATCAGCATGAGAAAGTATTGTTAAAACATCAGTTCTCATTATTTATGGTTATTACTAATTGTCAGTTCTCAGTTCACCTTATTTTCTAGTTAAGTAGGTGTATTATGAACAATTGTTGTATTTACATGTCATAAAACAATATCATAAGAGTGTAGAAATTGAGTTTACATTTGAGGAGCGAGAATGCAAAGCCGCGATATGGCACTGATTAATAATAACAGCATTGTTATTTAAGTCGCATTACGTACACCAGCTATAGGATATTTACACATAACATTTTTTAAAATAAAGTCGATGATTGAAAGCTTGTATTTTAATTTATAATCACATTGTTCCACAAAAATAACAGGTGAGTTGTACCGTAGACTTAATAAAAAGTAAGCTATAGCAGAATAACTGAGCAGCGGATAGTCTCTATTGTACCAACAGGTTTCCCCATTCGTAGTTGAAAGGAGTAAGACCGAGACCCATTTTAAATAATCCTACAACGTGCCATTACCTCATTCCTTTAAAAATACCACGCCATTGGCAGCACGAAATGGAGTCTTTCTATATTTCTAGATGCATTGGTCATTTTACTTCTATGAGTTAACAATGAAACATTAAAAATAAAAAGCTTTGATTTGGTAATATTAATTTATTAATTTCCAAAAGATGTAACAATATATTTAGGTATCACGATTTGTCTTTTTAATATTACGTGGTCAGATCTGTAAATATATTCAAATTATGTTAAAAAACTTACAATGTGTATCTGAATAAAGATTTACTTCGTGATAGATACATTTCATCTCTAAAATGAATTTGCGGCTTCTCTTCTGGTACATTAAGATAATTTATTAGAAGATACGCAAGAATTTAATCGGAAACATGCTGTGGTATTTTTGGTAGCATAACTTTCAGAAACCAATATCCTTCTAATTAACGAGTATCCGGACCATAGAGTAATAAATTAGTCTTAGTTTTCTAAACCCCAATAAAATACGTGTAAAACAATCCATTATGTGTCTCAAATTACATTATGGCTAAATTAACACCATTAGCACAAACACCCACTGCGAATTATATTGAAACATTTTGCCATGTTAGAGTAAAATTACGCGGTAGAAATAAGTCCATAGTCAATCAGAATTAAGTAACATCTATCACAAAGTAAACCATTTATTTAGTTGTGTTTATGACTAAAATTCATGTCAAAATGATATTTTGACATATGTATATGTCAATAAATGTTTGTACTCAATAATATGGGTATTTCGCAATTACCACTAGTAATTTCGTTTAAGTACATGCATTCTTAAATACACACGATCGATTTGATAGAACCGTTTCTATGTATTAACAAGTTTTTTTTCAACACTACATTTGATGCTTATGGTAACACTAAATAAACACCAAAAAAAAGTGCCCAAGCAACCACTCCTGTTAGTTTTTATGAAATATGGCATCTTATCAAATGACACAAGTATTATTGTTTTTAAGTTTTATTCACATACGAAATCTCAATCATGGGATTTATAATATCAAATCCAAATGATTGCGAAAAAACCTAAGTCCAGAGGAAGCTGGTAAAATAGCCAATAAACATTGTCAAGCAAATATTGCAGTCGCTTGTTATAAAGGCTTAGTCTTATGATTTCGTATAAGATCGTTTTCCAGTGCTAAATATTCTCGCTCTGGACTAGCTTTTCTAATAACAGTGAATCAAATAATTTTTATAAAAAGTTTGAGCCATACACTGTCTTTCAGTCTGAAAATGTTCAATTAGCACCATAATAGCCTTAAATTAATCTACGTACAGCTAAGAACAATATCGCTATACAAAGGACAGGGAATGACGCGATATGCCAAGAATTAGTAATATCTTTAGACCGTGATTACATGAATAGGTCAAAATTATTTTTATCACAAAATGACTTACAGGTAGCATTATTTTTTATATATACACAACACATCAAGCCACAAACAAAATAAAAATTGAGCTATTTAAAACACAAACGTATACTCGTTGGAAATATCGAGAAGATAATTTATTCTAGATAATTCCATAGAGATCATAATAGCGTAAAAATAAGTACCTAACCGTAAGTCACATGTCACAATTTATTCTAATAAGTGAAATGTTGCCTTAATATGACAATACAAAAATAGTTTGTATTTTAGCATAACTTGAATAGGGACACAAATTAAAATTCATTGGTCATTACCATTATGCATGTGGTACCTCCACATGCATAATGGTAATGACAACATAATTTGACGGGAAATGTCATTTTTGTTTTGTACTCACGAATAATGGAATAGGCAATAATTTTTATTATTTATACAAATCACATGAGTTGTAAAAAAAAAAAAGAAAGCAGAAATAGTAATGAACAATAAAATTTTAATGGCATTTCATACCAAAATTATACATAAATCAGATTCAATAAGTAAAATTGCGGTAAAACATTGTTAATTAAGGAGATGGATTTCATAGACAAACATTCCAAATTGACAGCATTCCATGGCATATTTTCGTTAAGGAATATCTTCCTCTAACATTACAATACCACCCGTACTAATGATTTCTATATTAAATCATTAATTAGAACGATAACTGAAATCGTAATACTTCAAAACCGTTTGTGACCACCCACTTTTATGTACAAAGATAAGTAACTACAATTATATATACATTGGGGAAATAGTGAACTCTAGAATAACTAAAACGATTTAAGTCCAAACGTAAATTGTAAATTGCTCAAATTGTAAACAGGACTGCGTATAGTGATAACCAGAGATTCTACAGAAATTCTTGTATTGGAGGACAATTAAAGAAGAAGATGCTTCTTTTAGATATGTATTTCAATATGTCATATTGATCAATTGACTAAACGACAAAGCTGGATTTAATAGTCTTGTTTACATTTTCAACAAATTAATAATAAACTAAAAGCAACATTAATCAAGTGCAAAAATAGTACTATACGAGCGTCGAAAATTGGAGTAAATTATTCAGTCAATAGATAAATTACTGTGTAAATAATTTCGGGAACTACACGATAATTGAATAGTCAGTTCATATATATTAGAAAGTTTACTAAATATTTCTAGGAAGACATACGATGTCATAATTATAATGTTTATAATTAGGCATTTTTATTGCAAATTGACAATACGAATGGCTCAGCCATAATTAAACATGAACCAGTCATGACCAAGCATTTTAATAAGCTTATAAGGTAATGAAATTTCTTAATAGCGCCATCTAAACTGGTACAATTGCAAAAGTCATACTATGCAAGAAAAAAAACATTGAAGAAAAAAGGAATAATAAATAATAAATACTTAAAAAAATAAATAATACAGTACACAAGACCAAGAAATCTTTAAGAATACTGGATATGAAAAAACTGGAGAAATCTACACTGGGACTATATATTAACTATTTAAGTAGCACTGAGTTTAAATAATGAATACAGTGGACTGTGCTCTTAAAATAATATAAAAACATATATATGTAAAATTTAAAACAGTTATCATTGCTGGGAAACGACTTCGACTGATACTGACTGAAACAAGTACAAGGCTATATATAATATAAATTAATATCGATCTAAAACGCTAAGTCATGACTATTATAATCGATATATCTATGTGTATTTTCTTCATGTACTCCATAAAAATCGCAACTTATTGTGGCTGGGAGCGAGGCGATCGCAGCTCCATTCGGCAGGGATGTCACGCGGGCGTTTTAGCTTTTTTGCCGAATGGGAGATGGATGCGTCGCTTTCTAGCTTTTGGTACGTTCTCGTCTTCCATAAGCGAAGAATCAGTGGATTCCTCCTCTGGCGGTGTGTTACTTGTCGGTGTTGCAGCGTCAGAATGGATTTGACCTGTGAAAACGGCTGTTATTTTCATATGGGTTTCGATACAATGTAGTTTTATATAGTATTGTTGATACCATCAAATTAATGTTTAATGATAAAATTGATTACTCAATATTGTGCTGCAACATGTTTAAATCCCTGCTTATCTGCTGGTCTACAGGTTGATAGGACTAAACGGTGCCGTGTGAATTGTCCAAGAATCTTATATTTCTTTTCCATTCAGTTAAATGTTATGCTTCCAAGGTTTATTTGTAAAATCCCATAATTTCTTTGAAACTACATATATGTAAACAAAATTACTATTAGAAAAAAAAAAGAATAATAGATATCTGTTCTTACTATTTGTCTAATACATTTACACTGTAGAAGTTTTTATTATAAAACTGAAATCCAGCTGACGGTCCTCTTGTAGGTAAACCGTAATTGTCGTCTTCTGTTCAGTGTGGAGTATCGTCGACGAACAAAGTAAAAACGAAATCTATGCATAAGTAAAGTACCTTCTGCGAGCGTCTTCTGTTTAGTGAAGGGGTGTCGCGGCGGAGGGCGCGGGTCGTCTGCGAGCGCCACCACGTCGGAGCTGCGCGAGCGCACGATGGCGCCCGACGACAGCGGCCGGCGCGGCGGCGGCAGCGGGCCCGCGCCCCGCACCGACGCCCGCAGCTGCGGCTGAGACTGCGACTGCAGCCCCCGCGACACCTCCTCGCCCGTCCAGTTCACACTGACGCGTACATACATATTGACTTTATTTAAATGAACAGCTGCGACAGTGTCGTTTCTATTGTAGCGCTACATAATACATTATTTATTGTAGTATATACATTATTAAGTTTATTGGTATTGTGCTACATGACATATTAATAACGCGTACAGGCGACGCGGAGTCGGGGACGTAGACTGATTTAACTGATTTACACTTAACTTAAATCTATGTCAATGGAGACATAAACTAATGGAAGGGTCTCAAGTATCGACAGAAATATTACAAGTGTAGGCACACAACAACACATCATCAGAGCGTACCGCACCGTCTCGAGAGAGGCGGCGTGCTTGCTCGCGGGCTCCCCACCTTGGGATCTCGTAGCGGATTCCCGCGCGTCCTTGTACAAGTGGCGCGCGGACGAAAGGGCCCAAGGAAGGGAGCCCTCTGGAGTGGAACTAGGGGAACGGAAATCCCACCTCCGACGTGTCCTCATGGAAAAGTGGGAAGAAAGGCTGGCCAACCCTACGGCCGGCCTGAGGACCGTCGAGGCTGTCCGTCCAGTTCTCAAAGAATGGATGGGCAGGCGACGGTGGCCGCTGACTTATCGACTTACGCAGGTGCTGTCCGGACATGGGTGTTTCGGGCGGTACCTGTGTAACATCGCACGGAGGGAGCCGACAACAATGTGCCACCAGTGCGGATGCGACCAAGACACGGCGCAGCACGTTCTGGAGGAGTGCCCTGCATTCGCAGAGGAGCGCCGCGTCTTGGTCGCGGAAGTGGGGGCCGACCTCTCGCAATTTAGTTCGGGCAATGGTTAGGAGCGAGGGGTCGTGGCTGGCAGTGCTCACCTTCTGCGAAGAAGTTATTTCGCAGAAGGAGGCGGCGGAGAGGGACCGGGAGTACGATCCTTTCGCCCCAATGATCCGCCGCCGGAGGACCAGGCGCAGACGTCGGGACGAGCCCAACTCCGTCCCGAGTCTACCCCCCACGGGGGCCGGGGTGCATGCCTTGAGGGAGGCACCACCCCACAACCAGGCCCCTGGAGGCGCGCGCGTGTACCCACGCGCCTCCACGAGAAGGTAGGGTGCAAGCCATAGCACCCTAACCAGAGAGAGGGGGCCTGTCCTACAACATCTACAGGACAGGCCAAGCCGCCGAAGTCTGGGTTGAGTGCCAAGTGCGAACCCCGGACTTCGGCCCACGGCACCTCGAGGTATACCGTGTGGTTTTTTAGTGGGTACGAGTCCTACACACCACCTCGCCATCCCTCCGGCGGGGTGACGGTCTTGTTGAAGATTTTTCCACACGTTAAAAAATAAAAAAAAAAAAAAGGCACACAACAACAAATATTTTTTTTATCTTTTTAGTCTATAGTTTGACACCATTGTTTGGTTTTGTCCACGATACGTTGCTGTACGCAAACGATTTTCAGTGTAATTAATAAGTTATTTAAATATTTGTTTAGTTTGCTCCAGAAAAGGTGGTTTTAATATTGCAACAGCAACCTACAGTCCACGCTTCTAAAATTGATCCAATGAGTTAATTGATTGGTATGAGTTTACCCGTGATTGAAACACTGTCGAAATATCAGGAACTCAATAAAAATAAAACGAGATAAAATCTCGTGATTTACTAATTATAAATATAAATAATGACTGCGTCGAAATTAAAACAGTATAATCATGCGTAAAACAGCTGAAAAATTACAAATTTCATACAAGACTTTACTTCTCTCCAATTCATTTGGATTGAACTTTCTGGAGCTTTTATTGATTGATTAAATATTTACCGAATATCAGATCTCGTGAATATGTTGTACAAGAATTCACCACTCACTTGTCACCGCCGAGCACGAACTGCACCTGGTCCTTCCGTCTGTCGTCTACTGGACTTTTTCTCACATCATTGAACGAACTCTTCACTCGCAACTCCTCCGTGGACATCTTCTTGTCGTCTCGCCTCTCCTCTAGTCGTCTCTCTCGCGCCTCTTGTGCGAGCCGCTCTTCTAACTGCAATCTAATTATATATTTTTATTTAGGTGGAATGGATAACCAAGGTGACGAATCATTTGAAGGGCAGCAAAAACGACATGTGCTTGCGGTGCCTTATAATTTCTGATAACTAAGGTGCTATTCCTCTGCACCCTCCAATTTAACATGCCATATAATTCATAATAGCATCGCATCCTTTATAAAGAAACAGTTTACCATTCAATTTGCTTGGCGGTAGAAATTGATAAAACAACTCATGCACAGAGACTTTAAAGACTAGAGACCTCCAAACGTCATGTAATTTTTCTAAACCCAGCGTAGAAAATTTAAATCATCGTGGATTTGCATCCTTCAATATTTAAAAGGAAGGAATTTAATATTTTTATGTTACTACAAAGGAAATTTATAATATTAATATACCTGTAGTGTAAGATAAAAAACGTACAAGGTTATGCAGAGACCTACAGACATTCATACCTATAACCTCACTCACAAGCACTATTGCAATCTCCTTAATATAGATTAGGTTACCTTGCTTCGGCAAGTCTTAGATCCAATGGGTAATGTGGAGTTTCAGGCTCCTCACTGCCCGATGAATCTTCCCTCCAACCGAAGTTGTCTGCGACTGAAAATGGACATAGGTTTCATTGTATTACATTTTTACACTATCAATTTCAATAAAAATAGATTGCTCAGCAAATATTTATACAATTTTAAAAAAATTACACTGATATAGTGAAATATATTATGTAAATTATTTTATTCATAACTCATGGGCTATTTTCCTTTAGTAAACTACGACTACTATGTACTTTTATTTTAGAAATTATTATCGTTTCCCGTAAAGTAACATTGAATACATGTTACTTTATAACGTTTATAAAATTGTGTGAACGAAATATGAAAGAAACGATAATATTTTAATGTTGGTTATTAAAACCTTATATTCCATTTGTTCCTTTTGTCCCGGCTTCATTTCCATATGAAACTTAGTACTAAAAGAAATAATCATGTTTGCAGTATTCACAATTATTATACAACAGTAATTAATAAATATTTATAATTCTATAATTAAATATTTTCCCGAAATCACTTTCAAATATAAGATACCGCTTGCTATCGCGTGTTCTATTTCATGTAATTTTTATTTGTGTATAATGTTATGTTATGAAGAAGAGTAAATATTTAAAAATAATCCTTTCAAATAAAGTTTCAATGTAACACTGCAAATATACCAATTTCTTATTTAATATTAAATAATGCATATTCTAAATGACAGCAATGAAAATACAAATAAAAACTAAATACAAACAAAGAAGTCATACGATAGCCTCATTATCGTATGACGTCTTTGTTCGTATTTAGTTTTTATTTGTATTGTCATATACGCTATCTCTTTCCTTTACATGTTTCAGAATAGTTTCAAATTTATATTAACTTGACCTAAGCATGTATGAAATAATCTACACATATTTTTATTGTAATAAAATAATTGGTTAATATTAAAGCATATATAGCGATTTTTAGTCGATATATAAAGCGTATCTAACTTAATTATCTTACCTCGATCGTGCCATCACACTGTTGCCATATCAAAACACTGAAAGCAAATCTAGTCTATGATAAAAACCTTGCAACACAGGATATATGGTAGTCAGGACTGGAGAATGGCAAAATAAAACAAAATCACAATCGTAAAAGGCTTTCAAACGTGCAAAAGAAAATAATATCATGTAGCTTGCTAAAACTTTACAAAATAAAGATTCTTGTGTGTAAATATGTAAAAAATATATTGACTAAATATTAATAATTATATTTTACAATATACAGTGCGGTCTTGGAAATTGTTTCTGTTAAATGCGTTAATTTATAATATATCAATTTTGACTTTCATACAGAGTAACTAAAATCACCATATAACATAAACAGCTTTAGTAAGATGCAAACACAGTGATGCTTTTTTAATAATAATAATATTAAGTGCGTGCACCAACCGTGCGTTTATTCAGTTATGCAGTAAACTGCTTTTTAACTAAACGCTTTGAAGTATTAATAGTATTTTTAATTATAAAAACATGCACAAGGATAAGAAATATGATACAAAAAGCCCACACCAATGAAAAAAAAACCAATTATAATAAAACACAAAGTTATCGCAATTTTGAAAATGTATGCCTCTAATACGCCGTAAAACTGATGATTTTAAGCAAATGCACTTGGGTAATTAACAGCAACATAATGAGGCAGGTTCCGTTGAATTTCCGAAAACATTTATTATTTCATACATGCTTCATTTTAGTGGCGACGTAATACAATTTAATACAAGTACTGTGTAATTTTGAATAATTGATTTAGAAAACGTTTCGAACTTATTTGAATATTGGCCTGAAATAAATACTAAAGCTTCTAAATTAATGTCAATGAAATAAAACTTTAATAATATATTTTTATTTCATTCACATTTCCATAGACAATTAGAAATGGAGTCACATATAGCAATAATTCCTTCAAGGAAAGTCTGTTTGTAATATAATAATGTAAAAGTCATAAAAAACAGAATAACGTACTTAGACATTAATAATTTTCTAAAGCCTAAAAAAGCAATTCCAAAATAAAAAAAAATGTTAAAATAACAATGAAAAATTCCAGTACCAACATTCAAATCGTATTAATACTAAATGCACAAATACAAAATGCCTGAAAGCTTCCCATCGATTGTGATAGCAAATTACTTTCCATAAAACATTTATTAAATCAAAATAATAAATCAAATTACATATTAGGATATTATATCACTTCTAAATTACAATAAATAGAAACTTAAATTAGTAGCATCAAATAAAAGTAGCCCTAAATCAGGAACTGTAAAAGCATTATTTTATTTTAAATAAAAAAATATACTGATATAAGTGTTAAATGTAGTTAATAAAAGAAGATTATTGATTCTGCAAAAAAATCGTAATATGCGCCAAATAGAAAGAAATTGTTATCTTTTAATATATACATAAAATATATATACATATATCATAACAAATAATTTAATAAATAAATATTTAAGTACAAAATTCAAATTTCAATTGATAGTGGAAAATTGAGCACTACAGTTATGCTATTATATTCATTTCTAACTACTATATTAGATTTTCCAAAAATGTCTTTTAATCTTTAATAAGATTATGCATCTCGGTTAGTACTGATTTTGCTATCAACACAATTTAATATGTATGTTAGATGACTATTTAACGTTATTTCAATAAAATTCGTGTAACTATTCATTTGTAATATTGGTTATTATTTCATATATGCATAAAATATTTAATCATATCCGGATTCATTTGTTATATGTATATGTATAATTCATCTAGAGTAACTAAAGTATACAGATAAAAAACAACTACCTATTTAGTTATTGTCCTTCCATCTACATGTAATAAGAAAGCTGCCTTCTACATGGCGAAAGAGGCTAACAACGATATTATATTCCTAATTACTAATTGAGTTTCGTTATAATTAGATCAACAATCCGAATATTGGTAACGACACCTATTTATTTATTAAAACTTATGTACTACTTAAGTATAGCTTTAATGTTGGCGGTTAAGCAGCTAGATCTAGCATTCCTATTTTGTCAATTGTGAGACGAAAAAAGTGTCATCTCTAACTTATTACATTGTCATAATAATTACATGTTAATTTATAGGCTGTAGAAATAGAAAGCGAATCGAATATAAAATCTTTATAACGTATTGAAAGACCTTAGTCTGTCCAGAACTGCAATAAATTCTATACTAAAAGACTCTGAAGCTACATTAGTAGGTTCATGCAAAATTTGGCTGGGTAGGAAAAGTAACACGATAGAGAAAGTGAGTATTGATGTACTTCAAAAAGAGTCGTCTTAAACCTACAACATCCTTGTTAGGAATGTATATAGAGTTTGGAGTTTCTCTCTGGCAAACAAAGACCCGGCAGCCGTATGGTGAATCCATGGATGCTAATAAGTTCGCCATATAAGGGCTGAACTATTCCCATTGTACTTGAAAACGTGACGTAAACTCTTCGTTTGTCTAGTTATCGTGACTCAGTACAAATGACAGAATATGCATGCTTGGTCAATTAAGCTGCTTATAGGCAAAACCAACAATACTACATATTCCTTAATAATAACAAATGCTCTTATATAGCACTAAATCCTTTAGATTCCGATTATATCAAAATATGAATTTAGAAAAATAGACAATGTATGGAATGAAAAGTCTGATAAGAAAACTAAAATGCATACTAGTTATCTTAAGAGTTTCCTTTCTAAAAGGAAAACCTTAGTTTTTCAGCGTAGTGTACACTACGTAGCAAAATTAAGGTTCGCCATTTGAATGCAGTAACATAGAGCTCAATGTCAGTTAGCAAAATGCAAATCAAATTAAACATATCTTAGACAACACATTTGTGTATATATATTACATCCAAGGCTAGCATTTCACCATTCGCAAACTGACACTTCAACCTGTCATGATACTGTATTTAATTACATGCCTAACAATACTTATTAAATATATCACACCCTTAATATTATACTGCATTAACACAATAATTATAAATATATTTGAAATCTACTCTAAGACTTTAAGATTAAAGTCTAGGTTCAAATAGTCAAATTTTGGACTTAATACAGTATTCAATTAAGCGTGCGATATGATACATAGTTCAACTCATTATATTAGATACAACTGAGCTGATCTACGAGGAATAAGATAAAAAAAATCTGGTACACAGCCCTATTTCATTGTTATATTATATACAAATTATTGTTTCTTTTTCATTATTATTACTGCCCAAAATTTATTCTGAATATATATAACCATTTGCGCGAGGTTGTTGAGCATTATAATATTTATATATATCAATTTAAAAAATATTATTATTATTTGTAATAGACTACACAAACTACTTATAAAAATAACACAAAAAATACATTCTCTATCTTAACAATTAAGATTCAGAATTTTGTAAAATAATAAGCTTATACTTTTGATATCTTCATGAGTAATAGGAATGACACAATGATTACAAGTATAAAATTTAATAAACTTCGATATAAATATTATTTGTACGAACTGTAGAATAGATGGTAAAGTAACATATTAATTAAGAAATAAAACAGATAGTACACAAATTAATGCAGTATCAACATTAGCGCAGCTGAGAGAATTTCTGCCAAAATGCTTAAACAATCAACGATAACAAATTATGGTGAACCATTAAAAATCTAAACTTATACAATAACAATTCTGAATATATATACATAACTGCATTTATAAAAATGTATATTTTTATTGCTTTATCATAATTTGAAGTCGTATATACAAATTAGGAAAATGCCATATGAAAATAGAGTAGAATACGTTATTGATTTATTTGAAGATTAAAAAGTTGTATTAATTTAAAATTCGACAATAGTGTTAGGATTATAAGGTAAATATGAAACAGTAAAAAATATAATATTCTTTAATTTTTAAATGGAATTCGATTACATAAGTATGTGGCACAAATTTAAATATACTTCTATAAGTATATTTAAAAATGTGATATCTCCCTATGGAGATATCACATTTTTATTTTAATGTTTGGACGCACTTTTGTTTTGTCGCGCAATAATAGGCGATGCAGACTTGGCACAAATTATTATTATTTTAATGTAAAAAAAAAACAAAGTAAATAGGATATTTAAAGTAAGTAAGACTTCAAAATAGTAATAATAAAAAAATATATAACAATAGAATAGAAATACAAAATAACACAGATCAGAAAATTTTCATATACTTTTGCGTGTGTGTTTAAAACTGTTGAGTGTGGAACCAAGTTGCCTGTGGGTACAGTGCTCATGTTGAGTCAATTGCTCAATCAATATGCTCATGATATAGGGAGACATCGTCCAGCTTACCTGAGCCGCATAGAGATGCGTCGTCGCCGAGACTCAGGTCATCTTGTGAACTGCTCATACGCACTGAAATCGAAAGCGAAACATTACTAATATTACAAATATTTTAATCAGGTTACATGATATATTAGTAGTATAGATGCTATTATTAATTTAGACAGCCATAACAAAAATACTTATAAATTGGACATATTCATATTTACTTTAAAATGAAAAAAAAAAATGGTTTAAGGCAGTTTCGTACTCCGAATACTTCCTTAGTATCACCGGTTTGCTTACGGGAGCAAAGGACGATAATACTGGCCATCAATAAAAACAAGTGGCCACTTAAATTTCGAATTTCGAAGAAAAATTCAATTGAAAATAAGAACTGGAAGAAAAAGGACGCTCCGTATTTTTACAAGAAAATTATTTGATTTAATATTTAATATTAAAATAGACACTCTAGAGTGCGTGGCTACACTGTACAACACATTAAGACTTTCCTGAGCAAAGGTGAGCAAGTGTGGTGTTACTTTGCTTACTTTTGGGTGATCGGTGTGTGGAAGACGTTTCTTTATAATATATGGCATTTTATCGATTTAGGACTTTTTTCATTTTACTTGGATTTATACTATTTTGTTTAATTCCGTTACCATTATATCCGTATGTGTGAGACCACAAATGTTCAGTACGAAAACCTCACCCAAATTGCGACACGTGTTTCGCCTCAGAACGCTATAGAGTTCGGATATACCTTGGAAGCCCAGTGTTGACTTTTCGGCGATCAACCTGCGACTAGCCTGATGATGATGCCCCGTTTAGAGGTTAATGGTAGCGGTATTTAGAAAATAATATAACCCCACTAATATACAACATAGACATACCTCTACCGGGGGCGCGTCCGTTCATGTTTCTGTATAGAGTTGTTTCAAGGAACTGTAGGCCGTTATTGTTGATTATGTTGAAGCCGCACATACGTTCGATTTGTTTCCATCTGTGCATACGTTCCTGTAATTATATTACAATAGAATTTTATTTTTCGCCTGTAATGCATTGTGGCATAGTGGTATACTACCCTGAATTGAACCAAAAGGTTTTGAATTTGAATCAGTATCAAAATATATTTCTGGCTCTTTGTTGTTTGATTGATTGATGTTGATGATCATAAAAAAGATGATTAACAAACTTAATTAAAGCGAGAGACGGTGGTAGACAAGGATATTTTAAATATAAATATAGATTTACTTCATTAGATTAATTCATTTCATAAAAATTGCTAAAAGCTAGCAACATAGGTAAGGTAAAAATTGAGATAAAAAATACAGACTATACATTAGATGTAAATCTCATGTGATTTATTGGTAATATCAGTCAAGTACACACTAGCCAATCTCGAGACGGCTGACCACAATGAATGGGAAAGTACCTGTAACTCTTGGGTGACCTCGTTGAGTGCGGTGCGCGCTTCCACGATGGATCGGTCGACATCGTCTATCGACTTGCCATGCGTTGACACAAACGCACCCACCAGGCTTGTACGTTTCTTGCGTAACTTTTCACACTGGATGGAATATATTATAGTAAAAATTTATAGATTTATTGGATAAATTACGTGAAATGAATTTTGTAATTTTTGACTCCTAGAAATTTAGGATCTCACCCAGTCCCTTGTCATACAATGGCAAAAGTTGTTAAACAATTTGTCCATAAATTACGTAACGTTTACGTAACGTTAACGCGTTAGAGGGAGGATCTCTAACGTGTTATGTAATTTAGGGAAGACATATTCATATATTTTTATCACAATTTGTGCTACACTCTAAAACAAACTATAGCCTAGTTTGTTGTTGACTTGAAAATATGTGAAAACCGTAAAGTATGAAAATATTTTTTTAATACTCTTGTGAGTTGCGTAATTTTTTTTAACAACACTATTTTGTACATTTAATTAAAAAAAAATCTTTATTATTATTTTCTGGATTTAAAATACATTATATTGAAGTTTTACAAATACAGTTCAATAAAAGATAATTACTCACAGCTTCTCTAGCTTGTTGCAGCTGCAAATCAGCTTGTTGTTTCTTGCGGAGGTACGCACGGTTTTCTACTTCGTGTGTGAGCTGCAACCACTGCTGCAACCCAGGTGGTGGTGTCCAGCACCTATCTGATAGTTCGCCTTCGGCGCGCTGTAACTCCGCCCGTAACATCTGCAAACGTAAATATTAACTGTTCAAATGTCACGAATTTTGCAAAAGCATTTGCTACATATATAGAGACATCATAAATGTCGGTTTCCTCGGAGTAAAATATAACTATCTATGACAACTGGAATACTTTATACCTACACTTTCTACCGTAAAATATCTAAATCAAGTACCCGAGACTGAGTCATATTAGGTTTTTTATAAGGTACGTTATATAAAAAACTTAATGTGATGACTGTCACTTTAAGTTTTTTATATAACGTATCTAATGATACGATGATGAACACAGATCATAACAAAACGATTGTAATAATAAATATTATATTTGTATAATTACTAGATCACTTACCTCAATTTCAGCTTTTAATTGTGTTACTTCAAGGTCCGAAGACGCCGAATTCAAAAGCGGCGTATCGCCAGCTTCTCTTAATTTCTTCTCTAAATTTTTCTTCTCTGTAGCAGCGCTTTCCTGCAAAAACAAGAAAGACGATTAATTATAAATAACGGGATCTTAAATATTAATTAACGGGAAATATCTTATACGACAATTTTATTATTTATTACCATTAATTATATTATTGGTCCTTAGTAATTGAAAAAGAAAATAAACATTATAATTAGTGATACTAGCTTTATACGATATATATAATTTTTATCTGTTAACGTTTCGTTTGACTTGTCTGTCTGTCTACGTTATAATTGTTTAATGTAGATAAAGTCAGGGATAACGTGAAGTCAATTAACATTGTTATGATCTAAGAAAAAGTTATTCTGAATAAGAATTATAGCAGACAGACGGACGGATTACTACTATAAATATCATTGTACATTTATATAGTTCATGGACATTATAGTCTGTGGTACACAATATTGAAACTTACATTGAGATTGTTATATATATATTTTTTACTATGTCAAGTAGCAAAACCTGTACAGTAGTAGATTCTAGAATAATAATTAATATAGCTACAAAAAAATTGATACAAAGTCAAGATGGTGTTTATTATTAAAATGTATAGTCTGTAACACAAGACAATTATGTATATATATATATATATTTAATAGAAAAGTGACTCAAGAAGTGATGTTTCTTAATAACATGTTTAGTAACAGAACTATGTTGACGATTCTCGGTGGTATAGCGGTCTAGCAATAATGGTCGCGGGTTCGATATACGGCACAAACATTTGTATTCATGAGTATGATTGTTTGTATCGGTTATTTTTCCAATGTATATGTATGTATTTACGAAAAAAAAAAAATCTATGTACTTGTATATTATCTAGTACCCATAACACAAGCTTTATGTAGCAACGTGGGCCTAGATCGCTGTGTGAATAGAGATAAAAAAAAAAAATATCTTACAAGATGTTAAAGCCAAAGTACCAATAAATATTTCATTTGCTTTGATAAATTCATCTCATTACTTAATACATGTATAGAATTTATGTATGTTTAGTACTATAACTAATATGACCCCCCCGCGCGCGCCCCCCACGTGCCACTACCATGACAATTTTTTTCGGACTACTCTAATGCTGTTGGCCACAACCGGTCTTTACAGCTTCACCGGGCGATGAGGAGCGAGTACAGATACTTACTTTGTAAGCGAGTACAGGTACTCCAAACCTCCGGACGGATTTATGGAGCGCCTGAAGGCCAACTCCCGCGGATATCACTTACTCAGGACGACGTAATGTCTATTCCCGTTTAAATTGGACGGGGGATCGATCGGAGGGGAAATTTATTACGATAATGCCCAGGGGTGGGGTTATTGGACCACATTACTAACAAATCATTTTCCCCTCCCACCCGTTCTACTTCCTAGCATTAAGTTGTGACGTAATGTAAGGATGATCGCTCATATCAGTTTTGAGAGAACATTGGAAATAATTATATTTGTAAAAAATATGTTGTAATGACGAGACAGGAAGCGACGTAACATGATGAAAATATAAACGCTAACAAATTGCGCGGTTTACAGCAGATGATTATAGTATTTACTGTTTGAGCATACTAACTATTCTTAACTTGTTTTTTTTTTCTGGTTATTTTATACCAGGTTGTGATAGATAAGAATACATGTCGTAAAAATATAACTTTACGACTGTCATCCCAGATGGGGTGAGAGGCATTGTTTACTGTGGATATTGCGATAAACAATATTCGACATGCCCACATTTCGCGGAGTATATTTGAAACCTACGCAACAAGGGCGTCTACTATCTTTACTCGGATTAATTTTAGTTCAATACATACATTATCGGTGTTTCCATAGCCAGAGAGTCAAAAATATAAATTCAATCAAGCCCGAGTAGTAAACCACCAGACCACGATGATCACATTTTACAATTATATATGTTAAAATCTATTTATAAAATATATTAAGCTATTTCCACTTAACACCTTAGGCGCCATGTGTATCTTTTTGTCACAGTGTCGGGAACACTGTATTCAAAAGTATACACATCTTTCTACTTAATAAACCGTGTATCCTTTTGGAACACGTTCTCTATACATCTTTTATTTTTATTTTATTATTACACAAATAAAAACACTGGCCTGTCGCATTTTTCCGGTGTAAATGGTCTGGGAATCGGTGATTTTACAAAAATATGTATTTTTTTTAAACGGTCACTTAGGGTCTGTCGCTGAGCGAGTTAAGCGGCACCAATTTCATTTCTCGTTCACACTCTCACCCTAATGAAGTGTTCGACTCATAATTATTGTATCTATATGCAACGGCTAGTACCTTTCTAAATGAGAAACGTCTGAAAAGTTTTCAATCTGTAATTTCAATCTTCAATTGTTACAAAGACTATGAGCACTGTACCTGTTCCAAGCGTGCTATCTCCAGCTCCTTCTGCATATTATCCAAGGCCATCTCAGCCTTCCTCAACTGCTCCATGTCACGGAGCATCCGTTGCACTTGCGTGCGGCTGGCGCGGCCGGCACGCAACGCCGCCCACACGCCGACGACCGCTCCCAATAGTAACGATGCGAGTAACCAGTCTTTCCATCGACTGCCTTCTGAAATCAATGGTTTTCGCTTATGTTAACAAGATTACTTAAAATACCCCATATATAATAATAAAGATCTTTTTTTAATAGATGATAATGTAATGATGCACCCGCCTGTGCTAAGTCAAATCAGCAAACGTGTAATGAAATTAATAAATTGCGTTTCACTCCTAATACTAGCGAGCAAGCGCAACCGCTGTGTTGAAAGATCAAAATGTAAAACAACATTAAGAAAAACGGTTAATGCTGGCGAGGAACCAGTGGAGGTTGATATAATGAGCATGAGGTCAGGTCAGTTAGCCCAGCAAGACAAAATCAGCAGAAATTTATCATGATTGTTTCCAGGGGGTACCGCGTGGAGGTCAACCTGACTTGGTACATTGCTAGCAACGGTGTCAACAGTCCACATAGCATAGCCTTTAATTACATTTTGAACTCTTTCACCCGCTACATGGAAACCCCACAAATTGACTTGAATGCGCAAAACTTGACCTTACGTACTTTAATAAATACTCATTTTGATAAGTAAAAATAAAAGAATATATGAAATTATGATGATGCTATAATTAGTGTACCGTGCTTATTACTGCATATTACATGGAAGACAAAGGTGACATATTATATCGTATGATGTAAAGAAATTGATAATTATCGATACACATTTGCACTCGTAACATTGTAGTATCCTTGTGGATGAATAAAAATGCCTTTGGTACAATAATAATATCAATTGATAACGGTTATCACTTTTATTTTTAAGTAAAGTCACAAATGTTATCGACCTGCGAAATGATTCGATTCTTTTTCATTTTTGTGTTGACTTTCTCGTAATAGCTATTACAACATACTTCATATTACTACCATACTATAGAGTATCCGAATAATACACATTACACCATTATCCAGACCGATACAAACAATCATACTCATGAATACAAATGTTTGCATCGTGCGAAGAATCGAACCCGCGATCATCAGAAGTAAAACGGTGTAAAATATGTATATACAGAAAATCAGTCAGTCACACGACACGATAAGTGGAGACCCTTTCAGCTCATAGCTCGACATTAGGTTTTAAATTCTTCTATAATTATCACTCTGTATTATACTATACTGAATAAATAATTTATTATTGGGAATGGCAGCTAGGGTATACAATAACCTACCGAAATCCCTTACCGAAGAGAACGACTTGAGTATATTGAAAGTAGATGTTTTGAGGTTTTGTAGGTTCCTTGAATTAAAATACGAATTAAAATGTAATCTTACTAATATTACAAACCCGAAAGTTTCTGACTATGGATGCTTGATTCTTTCACGCAAAAACTACTGAACTTTACAGTAAAATAGCTTTCCCATTAGAATAATACATAGACTATAAATTTTATTTATTTTATACGGGTAAAATCGCTTGATGAGTGAATCCCATAATTTAAATGATTGTATGATTATAAATTTGTATACTTAATAGGTTTATTATGGAGTACTTTATTACCTGTGTTTATACCACCAATTTTTACCTATCTTTACATAGTATAAAATGAAGTCATAGCGGAAGCGACTCCAATTTATACTACGTAAAGATTTTGTTGCTGTTAGCTTATTAAATTACGCAACGGATTTTAATGCAGTTTGTAGCAATAGATAGAGACATTCTAGATGAGGTTGTATGTATAATATATACGACACAACCGTGCAAAGCCGGGGCATCTAGTGTATCATAAATAACAAAAAAGAATACTACTAAAATTACCATATAAATATTACTAATGATTTTCTAAATAGTCTGTGGGTAACTAAGTCTTTCCTATCCAGTATCCTATCCGCTTTGTAAGCTGTTTTAGTACTCCGCAATGGCAACGCATGTGTGGCATCACAGTTCGTGGTGCTGTTCATACACTTAGGCGACGGTTACCACTTACTATCAGGTTTGTTTGCTATTCCAATTACATAAAAATCCATACATAGTTAATAACCGACGTCACTGATAACATTTGAGGTTAAGAGGTAAATGATTCATTAATTGTTTACAGTATGTATTTTGATAATTTTAATTTTAAATACTAATATATAGCGTGTCCCAAAAAATATCGAGTCATAAGGCATCACCCCATGGATGGTATTTGACGGACTTTTACATAGCTTTACGACTTACGCATTTCTGAGGATACTCCAACTGAATATCTTATTACAGTTTTAAAAAAAAGTATAAGTATTTATGAGCTGTGCTTTTATGCTATCAATCATCTGAGCAATGATCAAAATTAAGAAAATGTTGGAGTAAGGTGTAATAAAAATTTCATTTTTTCATTCTATGAATTAAGACTAAAATTTTCAAGTTTAAGTTAAAAATCTAAAAAGATGATCTCATATGGCCCGTACCGGCTTTGCTTGCTTGTCTGGCTTCTGATTCTGAAAATGTCGCTATGGAATAAAGTATTTTTGAAACAATAAAATAATTCTCAAATCAGTGCAGTGTTTTCACTGTTTAGTTTCCTTGTAACATGTTCTAAATCTACAGTCAGATGTCTATTTTTTATCTTCAATAAATAGTTTGAACTATAATTTGCTAGGAATTTGAACCGGGAGAAAATGACAGTGATTTTTACCTGTTGGCGAGAGTGCTTTTCCTCATCCCACCCTGACTTTCACTAGGCTTATACTTACTTACTATACTACTACTTAGACATAACACAACTTTATTAATCATCTTAGAAATTTTCGACCGGGAGGAAATTGGTCAGGCTGTTGCTAGTTTGTAGGTAATTTGAATAGATACATAGTATTAACAATCCTAACGTCTAACATATACTGTAAATAGTACATATATGTATCAGATATAAATAGTAATTAAAAAGTAGAGAAAAGGGCGGATAACGTAATGATTTCAAACTGTTTATGACTTACCTGTACACATTCATTGTTGTCTAGATATTGTGAAAAAAAAATCTAGGTGATCAATTAATTGTGTCAATAACATAACTGGCATTGTTCACTTGGTAGCACTTGGTAGGTTGGTTTACTATTCATTACCACAAATCAACCTTGTAAAGGAAAAATATAGATTCATCTAAATATATTCATCATTCAATAAACTAGGACCGTCAGATCACGATCATTTCATTGAAATCTATTACATAATGTGATACCAAATTATTTGCATACTTTGGTTATAGGATACATATATAATATTAATTACATATGTATTAACTAACTAACCCGTGTCCACTTCGTTGGGTGGTAAACATTTCCACTTGTCATCGACCGCCGAGAATTACAAATTATTAAAGTACTAATCGCTATTACAAAACATGGTATGATGAGTAAAAATTTAGGGTTACATGAATTTTTTGATGGCGTACATATAAATGTTGATTAAAAAATAATAAAATAATTGTTTGGATGGTAATAATTTTTCTTTATCACTTGGGAGTATGAAAAATAGTTTACGTCCTATTATTAGACCTACTAATATTCAGATAAAATTATAATCTAGTTCTATTTCTTCTCTGCATGTAAATAAGTCCTCGTGTAGTACCTACCAAATCATACTGCGACCGAAGCGGAAACATCATTTAAATGCCAATTTATACAAAATAATTATTCGAATTTATTAAGGATATTATGTATAAACCATATCTATTGTTATATTATTTTTAACATCAGTGACATGCAATTCCATCATTATAGTAAAGTATACAACACCTCTAATACTGTATACTGTATAAGAGAATGCAGGTAACTTATCGATTATCATCACTATATCTATAGGTAAACAAAGTATAAAAAAATATTTCGGATAATTTCCTTCGTAGGGGAAATTAGTTGTTTCATGAAATTTGAATATTGTAAATTAAGTATTACTGGATTTTAGCTTGGTATACCCGTTATGACTGTTCCTGTATGTACAAGAGCCTACTATATGACAAGTATGTATGTCAATATATGTATGTATATATAATAGTATATATATATACATACATGTATGTATATATAATAATATTATATATATGTATGTATATACTATATTCAACCATCATCGAATCATATCCAATGTAAATGAATACCTTCCAATTTGTTTACAATTGCAGCACGATAACAGTCGAATGGGTGTAATTAAAACACAATATAAAAATGTAATGCATTTTTTATTTGATTCCGTTAAAGTATTAAATAATAAAAAAAAGTATGGAATATACTTATATTTCATACATTCACTGCCAGTCAAAGGATAACTTTTTTAATGGATGAGTATGGTTCACTCGGCTGCGCTAACCGTATATGCTAACGACGCAACAATGGAGGATAAAATCAAGGCCAGTAAGTTAGCCCAATGTGACAAATTGACGAAGAATATTACATTACTATCCCGTTACTACTAATAATCCCCTTCCCTCCATCAGTCAAAGGTTAGATTAAGTCCTGTCAGACTGACTTTTTTAATGGATTATGGTATAATCGTGGGTCACTAGCCTGCGCTAACGGTATATACTGGTGGGACACCAGCGGCGGATGATAGAATGAGTATGAGGTCAGGTCAACTGGATATGGTACATGCAATGGGTTCACAGGGGGGGAGGGGGGATTATTGGTACCTAATGTGGACTAACGAACCCATTGCTAGCAATAAACCTACCAAATAAATAATGTCGGGTTGAGTTGAGAATCCAAGCGGTTCCCCTGGAAACCGTCGTGAGAAATTCCCGGGTTAATTTGTCACGATGGGCTTACCGACCTGACCATATGTCCTTATCATCCTCCACTGGTTATCCCTGCCAGCGTAAATCGTTAGTGTAGGTAGATGCACAATTATATTATATCATCCATAAAAAAAGAATGGGTTCATTAGTCGCCATTGCCGTTTTGCCAATCCTCGGAACGTTTTCAGAGAACAGTTGTTCGGGAATGGTTAGGGCTGGTACACTCTAGGCAATAGGCCTGACAGAAAAAAGGTTCAGATTGAGACTAACAATCAGAAGCTTCACACTTGGCGCTAGTAATCATATTTT